GGTGAGCAGGAGCCTTGTCCATGATGAGGAGGACCTTGGATAGTAAACCTTTGATCTCTAGATATTTCTTAACAGTAGGAAGGGCTCCCTGATCGACTCAAGATAAAGCACTCTTGTTGCCCAGGCTTTTGTGTTAGACCTCACATAACCCCCAGCCTATTCTTTGTGACTTTAGGTTTTCTGAACACTCACAGGGTCTCAGAGTGACAAACCAAGAGAAGCTGTATCTTCAGGTCACCACTTGCATTTGCAAATAGCATTGAGGTTAGCCTGGCCCTCATAGGCCTGTGGCCTTACATTTTCTTCTCTTCTGGAGTAACGTGTGTTGTCCTGGGTATTTTCTTCCAGAAGAGGCCAGTTTCATTGTAGTCGAAAATTTGATGAAAGCAAAAGCCATTTTTCTGTGTCACTGTTTCAAAGTGATGTATGTATTTTCCAGTAGCCCTTTTGCCAGTACTGGTGGCTTTGCCATGCCTAGTATGGTACCAACTTCAGGTCTTGCTGTAAAATTGTGAAACTACCCCTTACTGGCATGAAATGTTTCACTGTTATCACTCACTGATTGATCTGCATCCTTTATCCTTTATGAGATCTGTGTTTATAGCCCTAGCTGCTTCACAGACTTCAAACTCAGGCCGCAACCTGCCCTTTCTTTTATCCGTACCGATAATGGCCTTTCTGCCGCCTCTGGCACTGGTGACCGGGACTCCCTGATTTGAGTGACACCTTTAGCAACACTGGCTTCTTTATGCAAGTCTTTTCTTTGTAAGTCTGTTAAGAGTCACTTTTACCTGCTCTACGTTATCAAGATCAGTGAGAGCCACTCTCATATTTCTCCACAGTTCCCTCCTCCTTTTCAGTTGTGACTGCTTTCTTTCCCTTTCTTCCTTAGCTTTGTTTCTAGCTTTTTGGGGGCCAATTTGATAGCAGTTATTGTAGCAGTCATATAAAGCACCGACTGAAATCACATCCACAAACATGTCCATTTGGTGTCACACTGACGCTTAGATCCACTTTTCTGGCATCACAAGTCTTTATTTACAAATGCACAAGAGGCCAGCATTTGGGTCCTAACTCAAGATTTTGGTTGTGAGTTTAACCTAAAATTCTGGTTGTAACCAAGTTGTTTGTACATTAGGCTGGTCATAACTCAAGGGTCCAATGTAATTAATTTTTCTTTCTATAATTAATTTTTTCATTTGAAAAGAAATCTTATTGTGTATATCTATACTTCAATCCTTTATGTGTAATATGGTTGGTTCTCTAAAATTTTTAATTATTAGAAATCTTTCTATGCTATATTTTTACTTTGAAAATTAGATGAAAAGTTGAATTGTGAAAGTAAAAAGTTTATCTCTAATAATTTAAAGTAAAACAGACAAAGTATTTAAAATAATGTTTTTACTATAATAAGGTTAAAATATAGATACTAACTTTAAGTGCTTCAATAGCACCATTAATTTTGGAAGGGAAATTAAAATATTGTACTTGTAAGTGCTTTTTAAGGGAGCTTCCTAAGAAGTATTACTGTGTACTAGGTTCAGGTGTTCTGTGTTTTGTTTTGGTACCAGGAGTACATCTCAGGACCTTGTGCTTGCTAGGCAGGTGCTGTGCCACGGAGCTATATCCCAGGGCCCTCATGGATCAGTTTTTTTTAAATGCTATTTTTTTTCTGGCTCAGTTTTAAACAAATATCTTTTTAAGTCATTTATTCCTTACAGTTACCTTATGCTATTATAGTACTAACCCCATTTTACAGATACCTGAGGGACAGAAAGATCAAATAAATTGTGTATGGTCTTTCAGCTGATTAGTTGTGAAGCCGGGGCTGCTCAGATCAGCAGCACAGCCTGCTGCATGCACACGTGCTAAGTGCTCAGGGGGAGGAATGGCACAGTGAGTTTCTGAAGCAGTCATTTGGAGGAGCAGCACTCCTAAGATAAAAGTAATGTTTTAGATAAAATGTAATACTTCTTTTTTGAAAGACGATCAGAATCTTTATCCCAAGGAAACAGGAAAATAAGAGACTCATTTCAGTGACTCTGTGTACCCTCACCTGTACAGTGTTGTCTGTCAGCTGTATTTAAGGGTAAACTGTTCAGCTTTTGTGGAGTTGATGATGGGGTGAAGTAGAGTAGAGCGCTTATACATTTCGTGGAAAAAAATGGAGTTAACAGTATTGATGTGGAAGCCTGGGGAGACCGTCCTGCTACTTCCAGTTAATGCTTTGTAAGCCTGTTTTTGCAGTCTTTCTAGAGATGTGAAGTGTACAACACTTTTCAACATGCAAGCACTGTCACTTTCTCTCATTATGATCATTACAATAAAGTAAGATTTATTTTTTCAGAGGAAATCTAAGGCTAAAACCTAATAACTTTAACCAGTCATTTCCCTTGCAGTCTGTAGTTGAACAGTTCTATAAACCAAGTATCTGCCCTTTGTCAAAATACCACACTGCCGAGTTTCCAGGGTGTGAAGTGACCACTGTCAAAGTTTAGTGTGAGCTGTTCATTCATGAATTCTCTGATACTGCAGCGTCAGTTTGAGGAATACTAATGAAAATGTGTTTCTGTTTAGATCTAGGTGAGTGGATGATAGCGTGACAGAGGGGAAGGGATACGATGCGTTATAAAGTGGAGAGTCTGCTCTACAGGCAAGCAGCAGGACATGCCCAGAAGTTGTTGCTCAGTCTGGATTCAGAGGAAGTCTTGTATATATGATGCTAGGGATTGCTGAGAGAATGCAGGAATTGTGCTTAGGGTAGGCTTTATACTTCAGAACAGCTGAGAACTCACTTGCTGGAAAACTCAGCAAGCACTCCGACTAGAAGCCTGGTTGGTTAAGCAGAATACCCGTGGTACAACAGGAGGCAGCCACTGCTGGAATTCCAGCGAGATCACAAGTGACACCTCTCTTAAATATTCACTGAGCCATAATATTATTGTGGCTATTGGAGGAATTAATGTCATTTCTAAAGCAGTGTAAGAAAGGGGATTCATCATCGACTTGGAATTAAGACTGTCAGAAGCATCTTTGCTACTAAATTTCACAAAACTGGAGGGAGAATCCTGAAGTAAAATATAACATTCGTTAAAAACAAAACAAAACCAAAGCCAGTTGTTTAGACACTGAAAGTGGTGGAAGAATTGTCAGCATAAAACTTTAGTGGTAAGTCTAGGACTTGGGAGGGATTCCTGCCTCTAGCATGCCTAGCACCCTGCTGGGAAGGAAAATGGGGACATCCATTAAAATACTTCAGGGGTGCAGAATTTCAGTGGGGTGCGGATTCTACAGAGGCCACCCTGGGAGGTTTTCTTCAGGATACACATATTCTATTTCTGCTTTGATTACAAAAGTACATCAAGGACTAAGCTTGCATTTACCTCAAGTGCTGCTGCTTTGCCCTAATATCAGGCTTGGTGCTGCTCCCGTGCTTTATTTACTGTAAGGTGGCAGTGAAACAAACAGGTGGAGCCTACTCTGAATGGTCTCTAAGTCCGAGTCACTGGAAGAATGTAAACCGCATAGCTGGGAGCTGACTATTCAGTCTGTCTACCACTCTGTTAAGAATTGTTTGAAAGAATTTCCGTCTTACTCACAAAAGCTTGTAAGTTGTACAAAGTATTTTTAAAAATTGGCCACAGACTTAAGAGAATGACCAATTAGACATTAGTAACAGTTTTAACTGCTTGATAGTTATCACTATGATAGATAAATTTGTGGAAATCACATTTTAAGATAAATATTTCCAAGTTTAGTTGGCTCTAGGCATTATTAAACATGCTTATTTTTTTAATCCCCAAGAATATAAACCTGTATCTAAGTCATAAAAGGAAACAGCTATTTTAGATCTAACTTTAAAAAGAAATGTGGTTTCAAAAAGACTACATCTTCTTCCAGCTACAGTTACACTTTAAATCGGAGTTGTCTCTGGCCTACTTTGACCAAAGGAGTGTGGTAGAAGTGCCGTGTCTCCCAAGCCCTGACTCTGCTGTGACTTTTTGGGACTACTGGGCACTGTATAAGAATACTGCTTGCTGATAAGGGCAGGCTACACAGGGGATTGTATCCCTGACTAAGCTGAGGGCTTAGGAATTGAGTGAAGGTATTGGGACGGGCCTCCTGGCTCGAGCTGAGGTAACAGATGACTGCAGCCAGAGAAGAGTTAAAATGATCAGTTACACAACGACATACCTAATGTAAAAATTGGTAACAGTGACATTCTGCCGTAACACACATTTCACTACTTGGGAGGGTTGGAGTAGTGAACAAACTGTTACCAGAAATTAAAAGTAAAGAAAGCGCTATTCAAAGCTGGAAAGACAAAGACTAGTCTCATAGTAGTAAAAAAGTTGGCCAAATCAACAAACCTGTGTTGCTGGTTAAGTAGTTTTCCAGGAAAAATGTTCAAGGTATGTCAGCTGGCTTTGTTTAGCTGTGTATGTAGAATATGAAAAAGAGATGCTGTATAATCTTCAGGAATAATTGAGCAAACATACAGGAGGACACAGGAACTAGTGGAGATTCTCAGCTTTACAGCCAGGTATGGCGCATACCTGTAAATTCTAGCAGTATGAGAGGCTGAAACAGGAGGATCACAAATTCAAGCAGAATCTGGGCAACCTAGCAAGATGCTCTCTCAAAAAATTACAAGGGTCAGTGATGTACTGCAATGCAGAGAAGTCAGGTGCCATCCAGATGGTTAGTAACCATATAAATTTCAAGTTTATGATCAAATTGGGCTGTAACACCATTTTAAGACTTCATTGTTCACTGAATGCATAGTACATCCTTCTTAGCCAGAAGTAACTCCTTAGAGTCTGAAGAATGTTTTTGCGTAGCACTGTAGCACCCCAGAGAAGTCTGTGAGGTATGACTAATTAATACCATAATGGCGAAACTGAAAGCTTTTTTTTATGATCATAATACAGCAATGTCAAAATGGACATTGTCTGGAGTTCCAGCAAGAGTGATTAGGCAAGAAAGAAAAGGCATACAAATTGGAAAGGAAGTAGAACTGTATTTGCAGATGACTTGGGAATCTGACAGGACAGACACACAGTCATACAGCAACAGCAGAGCTATAAAGTCAGCAGTTTCAGGGTACAAAAGTGACACGCAACAGTCAGTTGTACTTCTATGTAATGGCAAAAAATAATTCATTAAGGAAATAAAGTACTCTAACAGCATCCAAAAGAACAGAGTAGCTAGAATTTCATGTAAGTGAAGATGCTGAAAACTATACAACATTCCTGAAGTTAAAACGTAAGTGGAAAATACCCTTTTATTCATGGGTTAGTAGACCACAGTTAAAATGCACATTTTGGTTTGATCCTTATCAAAATTCTAATAGCCTTTTTTCTAAAACAGAGCAGTCAGACAGCACGAAAATTCATAAGCAGTATACTGGGACTCATAATGGAAAAACAATCGAAAGAGTAACTATGGAAGATGACCTTACACTATATACAAAAATAAACTCAAGATGGGCCAACAACCTAAATATAAGATCTAACTCTGTAGAACTCCTTTTAAAAGACAACACATGGGTAAATCTTCACAGCTTTTTACTTGGCAATACATTAAGACTTGACATCAAAAATGGAAGCAAAAACAAAAAATCACTAGATAAATTGGACAAAATATAAAAATTGAATGCACTAAAGGAGATTGTCAGGACAGCAGCAAGAGAATGTGAAGAATGAAAGAAAATAAATCAGCTGAGTCTAATATTCAAAACTTACAATGCAGTGGTAAAAGCCCAACTTAAACAAAATGGTGAAGAATCTTAAATAGACATTCTCCAATAAAGACAGTGCTTACAAGTACGTAAAATACCCACTGGGAGTCAGGAGTGGTGGCACGCACTTGTAATTCCAGCTATTTGGAAAGCTGAGGCAGAAACACCACAAGCTGAGTGCCTATCTGGGCAACATAATGAGAATGTTCCCCAAACTTAAAAAAATCTGGGGACGTGGAGCAGTTGTCTAGCTTGTGCACACCTGTACTGTCAAATAACTGAGGTGTACAACCTGTGAGAGCATAAAATGGTTTAGCCACTATAGAAACCAATATGGCAGTTTCTCTGAAGGGTAAAGATACATATATACAGTTATGTTCCAGCACTTTCCCTCCCCAAACACATGTACATATTCAGCTGAAGCACTAGTAACCACAATCGAAATTTAAAAATCATCCAATGTTCAACAAATGGATGAATTTATGGCATATTTCATGTATATTATTTTACCGTAAACATGGATTCTTGAAGTGTGGACTTTACCTTAGAATCAAAAAATGAACAACCAGAAGGGACAAGGTGGGACGACTTCTAAATTGCACAAAGCTTTGAAACCATAATTCTGTAACCATTCCATCTGCACCTTCTGGGAACGCTATAAGAGGTTAAATGTACTCTTGCCCATCAGCTTTTCAATGCCCTACTCTTAAATATGAAAGAAAAAGGGATATCAGACATTAGTGGAGTAATGTAATGAAACAGAACAATAAAGAAAAAAGCCTAAGAGACATGGAGATACAAGATAACTTTAGAAGGAGAATCCTAATTTATATCTTCAAAGATTTGAAAAGTAGGTCTGTAGAATTCCTCAATAGGTGAATCAGCACTCTTGAAAAGTGGTTTAAATGGAGCACTTTGAAAACTAGAAAAAACTACAATTATCAGTTGGAGATGATAGCAAACAGACATCTGTAAGGCTTACTATCCAGTAAGTCTGAAAGAAAAATAATAAATTTTATAAAAATCTCCTTACTGTTGCTGCTGGACACAAATCTGTAGGATGAAAGGACTCATAAGCCATTTCCTTATACAAGGTTTAAAAGGAAGCTCCCCAAAATTTCTGAGGGAAGCCTAAGGGTGGGTAGAAAACACAATCTTAACAGAAGTAACTTAGATAACAGGAGACAAAGCAACAGTGTCTGCAAAAACTATTATCCATCACGAAGACTATTACATTTGCAGAGATTCAGTAAACTCCCCTCTTTGATACTTTACTGAGAAGTTAGATAGCTCCAGCAAGAGGAAGGCAAAGCCGGCACACCAGAGATGGTAGGAGCAGGAGTGCAGCAAGTTCAAGGCCAGTCTGGGCTGTGTGGCAAGTTCCAGGCTGGCCTGAATGACATGCTATGATGCTGTCTAAAAACATCAACACAAGTGGAAGTTCCAAGGAAGACTGGCTAACAGAAATACAAAGAGGGGTCCCACAATAACAGTTGAAAAGATAAAGCCACAATAATTACAAAATACCACAAGAAGGAAAAAGCAGGAAATCTTCACAAAACATTTGCAGGCTGTAGAAGGAAGGAAATATCTTAGTTCAAGACTTCGCCGAACAGAGTAAAAAGTTACATAATGTGAATCCTAATGAACAAATGAATATAACACTACATATAAAAGATGAAAGTGGGAAAGGTTATGAAAGAACTAGATCTTTGTATAATGTAAGAAAGTAAATCAACATACCAAGATACATTAGTATAGCCACGTAATATAGCATACCACATAAAAGCCATCAAAAATGTTAGGATTACGTTTAAGTGGCAAAACAAATACAAGAATCCTGTTGTGTGTGTCTGTGTGGGGGCACACATGTGTTTTAAAGAATATGTATGCTTTACAGATTGATAATTTTTTCAACTCAATAAAACGAACATTTATATTTTTGTACAGCCTTTTAGTATAACCAGTTACTTTTATCAAAATAAATACACTTAATTCATGCGTAGTTTACTTCCAATAAAGTATGACTTAAGTATCACTCATGTAATAAAAGGAAGCTGTGTGTTGAGCCTGATTAGTGTCTGAATTATATAAAGAAATTTTAATAGCAAACAGGTGTTCAGTGTTTAATATACACCTGAATTTGTTCAAAGCAGTTAACCATTTTTACATGTCGTTAAATGAGCAAAATAACTCTACAAGACAGGATTTATTACACCTCTTCTTAAACATGAGATAAATGAGTTCCAAGAATTCATACAACCCATCTGCAGTTAATCTGAAACTGGAAATCATGTATTCAGGTGCCAAGGATCATAGTGTATTGCTTTTCAATTACCTAAACCAATTGACAGCTTACATTTCCATGGTTATTCTTTTTTTTTTTTTAGAAAAGGTCTCACGATCTTCCTGCCACAACCTCTCATGTAGCTGGGATTACAGGCCTGTGCTACAACACCTGGCCTCTTGTCTGCTTTTCAGCTAATAAAATCATTTCAGGCTTCTTTTTAAAGTATATGTGAACACTGATATGGATCAATATAAAATAGGATATAACAAAAGCTATCAAGCAACAGCACTAAACAATAAAAATCAGTACTAATGAGATGGTAATTTGACACCACAAATCACAGCAATGACCACAAATTAAATTGGAAGGGTACCACTAATAGCAGATTCACTTATAAACCAACTAAGTCTGCTTAACAGAAACACTGTATATAAAGCCATTTATTGTGTTGATGTTCTTTGCACAAAGATGTCATGGAAGGACTGAGTAGAAACATATGAAATCATCATTCATTTATTCATTAATATGTTGTCAAATTCAGTTTTCTATACACTATGATGCTTATTCCATTTTGTACTATTAGATACATATTTAAAAAAATATTTAACTCATTTTTATGAGGAAATTAAATATTTTCTGAAAAAAATCAGTTACTGTTCTCTACCAACAAACTTGAAACAACTTTCATCCAAATCCACTTAAGTCATTTAAATATCTCTGCTCAATAGCAACATCTCTAAAGTCTAGTTTACACAATTCTATTCTACATAACACTGTTTTACACTGTTACATGGTATATAATTAAAGAACATTTTTGTAATAAACATTTTTTCTTTGATATAATAATAAATAACAGTTTTCTCATACTCCCCTCAATCACTCAAATATATTAAAAATGTATCCTCCTTTAAAAGGCACACACATTTACAGGTTCAAATCTTTATTGTTTTAAAATTGTACAGGTCTTTTACAATACAATATTTTGTTATTTAAATGACCTCTAAATGGTTAATATACAATGCATGTTTTTCTGAAACTCAACCATGAATTACGATCTCATCAGTATGATTATTCTAAACAGAGTCGTAAGGATGGTGGGAAGGCTTGAGTGCCGCGGTGGAAACACCACAGCAGACTCTTCCCTGTAGAACCCAGGTGACTAAGTCTGTTGAAAGTGCTTTTCACGATTGCTGTTTTCTTATGGCTGATCTTAAAGTCAGTCACTCAAATAACAGTTCCTTTTTTGAAATATCAAAGGGCATTTTTAAAAATCAAAGAATTTGCTTTAGTAATCTACTGAGGTAAACTCAAAGTTATGATTATCTGCATGCAGTAACACTCTTTAAATAGTTTTGAAGAATTTACACATTTTTATAAAGGATGTGTTAAAGAGTGCAAGTATTCTGATACTGATTTCACAAAAGGACAAATGCTGGTAATAGTAACTAACATTTAACATCAGAGTTCAGGCTAAGGTACAGTGAACAGGCAGGAGTTAATTAACACGGCTGACATAAGCCACAATGCACAGGGTGTGCCCTTTGAGAAGATGAGTTAGTTTGGTCCGCATTTCTAGAGTTATCTGGGTACAAAAGAAAGAAAACCCCAAACCATTTCAATTCAGCCGAGGGTTCTGACGAATTTATCGTTCCTAAAATGTAGCCAGTTAAAAAGGACACCTGTGAAGTCTATTGATGAGTTTTGTATAAAAAGATGCCTGCTGTTTTGGGGTGGTTAATGAGCAATGTCAAACAAGTTAGAACTGACACAGAATGCGGTCATCGCTTCCACAGCTATACTTTCTTATTCCATGACACAGCTTTGACTCTGTAGAACTTTGTCCCCAAAGGAACTTTAAATCTGTTTTGTGCCTACAGAAGAAATAAAAAAAGAATTACCTGAATGATCAAACCAAATTATACAGCTACTCTGTATTACACTACCCCTGCTGAAGTATCTGGGGGCACAGCGACAGTGTCTAACTACATATGACCCACTCTTCACCAAGTGAAATACATTGAGCTACTCACACACTGATGGAAGATAAAGCTGCTGTACCCATTGTTAGAGAATGTTACCAAGTGAGCCATGTCATTCAACTAAAAACAAAACCCTTAGTGCAGAGCTCCAGTTTACCGGCTGAGGTACAGAACACAGTGAGTCAGGAGGACGACTCCTGCAGCACTGGGAAAGCAGGTATTTCAGTCAGGTCAGTTTTTAACACCAAATATTTTACACTGTGTTTATGTTATGACAATAAGTAAACATCAACTCTAGATACAAACAGAACTCACTGTTACAACCAATTATGCAGGGGCATTATTTGCACATTAAATTACAATCAGTAATTTACTGTTATAGTAATAAAAAAGCCTTATGGTAGTTTTCCTTCATAGGCTGATGGACTGTTGGTAATCTACCTTTACTCTCCAAGGACAAATAATATAAGTTATAAAATTCTTTTAATTCAATCTAATTAAATTCAAGCTCTAACTCAGGTGACCTAATAGGCTAAAAGCATTTTCTATAAAAATACGATTTGTAGTTTATATTACAGGATGTAGTCTGTACCTTTTTAGCTTGACAATACTCCTTTTCCATTACTTTTCCAAGAACCCAGGGTCTTCTAGATGCACCTGAAGCTAACAAATCAAACTGTTAATTTCTGTTTCAAAATGTAGTTATAATTATTTATGAAAGAACTTCCAAAATCAAAACTAATGACATTCTCATGGCTGAAAAAAATGTGTAATATTCTAATTCATGAAATAGAACTGAATTGTTAACTTTAACCAGTAATATATGGTTTTAACACATTTACTATATATACATGGTACATCAAATCAGCAATAACAGTTCAGGAAATAATATGTATTAATACTATTAATATGTAATACTATCAATATGTATTAAGTACAAATCATGAACAAACAAATCTAGCCTTTCAAGGCTAACTCAACACTGCCATCTACTGAAAGAACTGACAAAGATGACCTCCTCCATATCTAAAAGCAAAAAAACCCACCACACTTTCCTAAAAGCAAAAAAGACTGCTTTCTGAAGAGCTGGGCTTTGCAATCACCCTCGTGGGAAGGGCAGGGTCTACACTGCTTCACACCTACAGCCAGATTGGGGATGGCAGTGTGGACACAGGTGGTGCTCAAGGAAGAGCTTAGTAAAGGCCACAAATCTGAATTGGCAAGGCAGTTCTTATATAGGAGACGGAGAACAAAAGAGGACGAGAAGGCTAGTCCTCAAGCAACGCTGTAGCTACTAAGAGGTAAAACACTCACTGTTCATTTCCTTTAAGAAATGTCACAATAAAGTCACTTATACACCCAGTAAATCATTCAATTTATCTAAAAGCCTTTGGGATTCTTAACAGAGGATATAACTGATTTTTGTACCATGAAAATAAACTAGAATGCACAAAAATAATACGGTTAATTCAGATTTTTTAAAAAAATGCAGAATTTGTCAGTGACTTTAGTTTTTGAGTAATTACAGCATGGGATTAAAAAAAACCTTTTAAAATATATTCCTTTCAGTCTAGGGAAGTATTTTAGTCATGGATGTGACACTTACCACCCTCACCTGGTTTGAGATCCAGGGCAGGCAGAGACTCTGAATGCAAAAAATATAAAGTAGGACTAACAGTAAATAATACATAATTGTCGTGGCGTTCATCTAAGATGATGAGTACCAGATCTCCCACCTGAAAACTAAAGAAAAGAAAGCTAAGTTTACTGTCCTACAGTTAACATCAGTCACACGGCTTTTTAACAGTGAGCCCTCTTCTGTCAGACTTATCCAGCCAAGGACCAAAATATCTAGGGCAGGTGAGCTGGGGGTGGGGGTCCTGCATCAGTACCAGACATGTATAGGCCTTTTTCTTAGCATTATTCCAAATATACTATGGTATAACACAATTTACAATGCACAAGCTTAGTTTAACCTAAAGATTTATCTAGGAACATACACACATAGGTTAGATATAAACAATTTGTATGCATCCAAGAATTCTGATGTCTTAAGGAGATACTGCAAGCAATACCGAGGCTACTGAGACACAACTGTATTCTGTGATGTTCAATACAAAAAGTGATGCAATACTGAATATGACATTTCTATATTCTTTTTGAACTCTACAGAGCTCCAAATAGTCTCTCTCCCCCCTCACTCACGAAAACACACACTCAAAAGCGTGATACTAGCAAGTGTCAAAGGCAAAACGTTTCTTTAATTAAAAAAAAAAAAAAAGGTGAAACACCAAAGAACCCCTGTTTACATGTGGGTATAAAAAGTACCCATTATAGTTGATTCAATCATAGGGAGTTTTCCTGACCTTTCATTTCATAGCTATAAGCTTATATTCAGACAGAGAGATCTAATTAACAGCTATAGTGTCAAAGAACTAGACAGTGCTGCTACAGTTTACAGGTGCAGAACTCTTCAATACGACACAAGAAGCAGCAGAGCTAGATCCGCATGCTTGATTAGGCCTGAGCAAGTCAAAAGGTTCTGCAGCTCGAGAGAGACACATATCAGCTCCAGGTACCAGCTGGAAGGGATGAACAAAAGTTTGTGTTGCATGCTCAATGGTGTGTCCCTAGAGCCTTTTTAGAACTGTTTAGGAAAGCAGATTTTGGACATTAGTCTCAGCTTTCTTAGCTGCTGCTCCAGATAATCATTAAAATTAGAGAGGCAGATTTGGAAAGTTGGCAGCTTTTTGTTCATTAACTGACTATGCCACAGACACAGCCACACCACCAAGCAAGTACTACTGCAGCTGAACACCAAAGGTTAAAGCATTAAAAGGGGCAAACCGGGGCCTGTCTGAGACAGTTAAAGTTCATCTCCATAATCTTAAAAACATCAAGGATCACTCCTTGATTTGACGGTAGAGCTGGTAAATACAACATTCTGTTCTTTCAAATCACCTAGAAGATAAAATTCTAAAGCAATGTGAAAGGTTGAAACCACAAGTATGACCAACCAGAACTTGTCAACAGGTCTACTATAAGTAAAATACTTTGTTTTACTTTTGTTTTTTGTACACGGCGCTTCACAATAGTCGATGCTGTCCTTCAACCTCAATATGCAGACCTGTCTGGTCTCAGATTCACAGTGATCTTCCAGTTTCAGCTTCCTTAGTGCTGGGATTACAAGCCTGCACCACCACACTCAGCAAAATAAAGTACCTTTAAAAATACACTAATTTTTGCGTTTGTGCTTTTAATGTTAAAATACAGTCTGTTGGCCTTCCTGTGAAGCAGGCTCTGCTAGTGCTGATCGGTAAGAGCCTCAGCTAGAAGAGAAACCACGCCTTTCTGTGATCAGGCTTAAGAATCAGAAGTGTCCAACACCCGCCCCACACGCCATGCCCGATTCAAAACACTCGGTGAGATGAGGGCAACGGAGGGGAAGGGAACAACCTGATGCTTGGCATTGCTTGGCTGACTCTGCAGGCTTGGGGCTGGTGGTCAGGGCATCTACCTGAACAGCAGTGTGTGCTGTGTCACCTGTGGGGGATTTCCTCCTATCTTGTTTTTGAAATCCAATGTTTTGTTCCATTTTACGGTTTTGTTTACACCTGTGTCTGGTAACCTGAGAAACTATTTGAAGATAACAATGTGCAGCACAGTTCTCACTGCTTTGTTTTGTTCCAATCTGTTTCATTTTATCCTGTTATGCTTTGACTGCTTTTATTTGGTTCTGTTTGATTTTGCTATGTCTGATGAAATAGACAACTACTGTGAAGGTAGCAAGATACATTATGGTAGCCACCGTTCATTTCCTATTACCCTCTTTGGAAGCTCTGAACCACTTTCATTGCTTTATTGATTGGCTTTATTCTGTTTTGTTTTCTTGGGTTTTATTGTCTTTAAAATATCATAGTGTGTTATTCATGACTGCTAACAATTTTCCTCTCTCCCGAAGAGTTTTTTACAAATAACTGAAATGAACAATTGTGACTGGGAAAATCTAGTTCGGGAGAAATGACTACCAAATTATTCAGCTGATACTGACTTGATAATAAGTCTTCAGTATGTTAATAAAATAAAAATGAAACACCAAATTAAAATGAAGACTCTTCAACTGAAAATGGAAAAAACTAATGAGATAAATGGGATTTAAGAGGTAGCCTCAGCTGAACTGTTAACTATAATCAAAAAGGCTTCAGAGATATATGTGTGAATGAAGATGACCTGCAGTATAATCCTGATGGTTTCAGAACAATTTAGAACTCACTTTATTACATTTTTTTTACTTAATATAAAAGAACTAAGTTGCATGAACATGAACCTGATTATTTTTGTTAACAATTCCATTCAGTGAATTTTTTCACAGAAAAAAAGAAAATGAAAATACTTACTCTCTGATTGCTATCTTTTCAGAATGCCTTGCAGACACAGAAGACATGCTCTGAGACATCTAAAAAACACGAACAGTGTGAAGCCACACATTTAGACCTCTGTATACAAAGCAGTTTTACACACTCGTCTGTGCTCCAACTGAAAGTTCAGACTAATTGCTAATTAATATAATTAACTTCTACAATTAGTTTCATTGGATAAATTTACCTATATTTTTATTCATTTATCACATCTGGTGAAGTAAAACCTGATTTTAAAAGCATTTTAAATTGTTTCATATTACAGAAAAAGACTGAAATTTTCTTGAGTCAGAGTTTGAAAGTTCTGGCACATTGGCTTTTAAGTATTTGTGGAAAAACAACAAATCAAACAAAAATACCTTTAAAATGCTCCTATCGGCACTCTAACTGAACTAGAGGACAGTAGAAAGTTCTCGGGGCTGGCAACTTCCCTCCTTTCTTACCTTCCAGACAATTCCCAAAATGTCTCTATTTAAGTAATTACTAAATAATAAAAGGTGGGGCAGCCAGTGTTTCCTAACGATAAGCACAAGGGATGAATACTTTGCATTTTCTTTTTATTGGTATGTTTGCAATACATAATGATTGTCTTCATCATGAAGAGTTGAACATCTGTATAACATTTCTGTAAGAGAAACCATGTGGAAATTGAACCCTGTGTATCTAGATGATTTATTTCACTTAAGATGCAGCAATTTTCCTGCAGGTGACTCAAATTTATCCTTTATGGCAGAGTAATATACTTCATGTGTATAAATACAATGTTTTCTTTATCCAGTCATCTGGTGATGGACAGTCTATATAGAACCTATAAGACTTAGCGATTGTTTTACTTAGCTATGCAACATGGGTAGGCATGTGTCACTGTAATATGATTTCAACTCTTAGGAGTAGCTGAGTTCAATGGGATTTTTCATTTTAGTTTTTTGAGGAAGCTCTGTACTGTTTTCCATAATGGTTATACTAGATTGCTTTTCCATCAGCAAAAAGAAGAGCTCCTTTGGGAATCATACTTTCTGATTTGGAGTTGCCGTAGCAGAGTAGGGACTGCTGCACCCATCAGACTTCAACACAAACATTACCTAGTCTCATCATTCCTGAGGCACGAGTTCCAGTGTTTAGGGACCTGTGTGGATAGCAAGAATGCCTGTCTTTCGTAAGCAAAATAAGTGGCCCAGTGAAACCAAGTCAGGTATGATGCATGTTAGTGAGTCTAATGTTTAGACTCTGAATTTGCTCATTTCCTTCCAAACACTATCTTACACCACACAGTGTCTCTTTAAGTATTGAAAACAAGAGAGAAGAAAAACAAATAATGACCAGCAAGAGCTAATAACTTACTAAAATTAACCAGAAAAATAAAGTTCCAGTAAACACCATTTATTTTTAACACTACATTCAGCTTTACTCAGATCATTGAAAAGCTTAACTTTTTTCATATATTTACTATAAATTAGAGTTTAGATTTGGAGAAAAATTATGTGAAATGAATAGAGTTGTAAATATGCATCCAGCTGTGATTCATATTTGAACACCCCTCTGCATGCAAGTGTGAGGATCTGCATATCTGAAAGGCAAAGTTCATTTGTCAGTTGTAGAAGTATCTGTGCGATACAAGTTACTCTTCAAGATGCCAAGAGCACAGCAATGAGGGGGAAAGACTCAAGTCTTTACAGAATGTAGCTTACATTCTCTTAACTCCACTGCATAAAATGTATTGAGTGCTATCTAGGGTAAGCCAACTAGAAGGCAGAGGAGGAGGAAAAGGAATGAAAGGATTCAGATGGGATAGGTAAGTGCCAACCTTCCTTTCATGAATATAATCATTAGGTACTAACATGCATTTATAACAATAAAAACTTAATGATTTGACAGTATAAGTACTTAGTAATTTTTGTTCAAGTGAAGGCATAAGAAAGTAGTTCACTATGAAGGTATTTCATTTAAAAATTCAACTCTGAAAAGTATTTCAAAACTTCAGAAGTATTGAACACTAGCTTAAATTACTATTTCCTCGTGTAAATGTTAATTGACTGTAAAACTGAGTGCCAGCGCACCTGATTAAATTCACAAGTTAAGAGTACATGCACAGTTAAGCAGGCGCTACGTCTTTGAGGTAATCTTCACTTAAAGGTAAAATTCTTGGGAAAAATATATGAAAATCACAGATAGTGTGAGAATAAGCATGTTAATCTTCAAAATGCTTATGAAACACAGCTCTAAGTTTTAAATACTTCTGAAAAACAGCTCTAAGTTTTAACTTGCTGAATTAAGATTTACTGCTAAAATTACAACCAAATAATGGAATTCTAAGAAATTAGTTTTCCTAAGAATCAAAAATTATGGGCTGGGGATTTAGCTCAGCGGCATAAGCGCCTGCCTGGCAAGCAAGAGGTCATGAGCTCGATCCCTGGTCCTGCCAAAAAAAAAAAGAATCAAAAATTGTATTTCTTCCCTTGTATCCTTCTCATAGTAAAAGTAGCCACTTTGCCAGTTTTAGTCTTATTTCTTACTAAAACAATTTTCAAGTCAAGAGGAAAGTGTGAGTCTAAAGTTACAGGTAACGACTCTGACCTGACTGAGAATTAATCAGTGAGCAACATAACAAACACTGCTAGACATAATGAAGCATACATCCTCCGCAGTGCATCTTCTTAATGAGGTATCATAAAAATAATTTTTAAATGGTAATATCGTGTTTCCAGAAAACATTCTTACCAGTCTTTGATTTAACCGCTTATTTTCTTCCTCTTTCAACTGCAGTGTCTGCAGGTGGTAAAAAGAGACTTGGTTACTCCTTGTCCTAAGTACACAATGATTGGAGAAAAGTTATTTTCAAACTAATGTTTGGTTCTGGTATGAAAAGTTAATGTGAATACTATTTTACATGAATTTTTCCAACTGTTTTATTTACTATTTTAATGAGGATAATTTTCATACATTTACGTAAACCAGCAGCAATTGTCAAGTTTTAATACCTATTAGCTGTGAAATTAAAAAAAAAAAGTAAATATTTGAGACCATGACTTTCCCAGTGGGACACATCTAAGATTTACAGGAGACATCTGAGGTGGTTGTCACATAGCCCTTAATAACAAAAGAATGGTATTATCTGGAAAATCTGTACAATTTTGACTTTGCATTTTTTTCCGTAAGTTGTTACAAAAGCAATTGTTGAAAACCTTAAAAGGCCTACCTAGTAATTGAATAAAGAAAAAAAGCCCCCATCCTGCCAGTTTTTTTCCTGCTCACTTCATCTTTATTAAAAAATAACTTATTTCTTCATTAACTTTCAAAGAAATGTTTAATATTTTATCTTTGAAATAAATGTGTAAAATTCAAATTTATTACCAAAGTGAATGTATTTCAAGAAGATAATTTACTTACTCTTTCTAAGAGCATTATTCTCTGCTTTTCTTCAGAAAGCATATGGACATTTTCCCTGAAAGTGAATAATCAGTAGTCAAGTTTTAGTATTTTGAAATGATGAGCTTTAGGTCTCCCTCAGTAAGATTTGGAAAGTTTTCAGTATTACTGCAGATCATATTAGCAACTCGAGGTCACACACTAAGTTTTCAATAGTACCCTACACAGTGGTATATCAATGCTGTCTGTGCATGAGACAGAGATCTTCAAACTTTTTTGAAATTATGAGCAAAACATTGTACGTGAACTTATCTGGGGATAATCTGTTTCCAGTCTTCTTCCTACATGTTCCTACATGAGTGGATAAAGTTTTAATAAATGGGGCCAGGGATTTAGTTCAGCAGTATAAGCGCCTGCCTGGCAGGTGCAAGGTTGGGAGTTTGAGCCCCGGTTTAAAAAAAAAAAAAAAAAGTGTTAATAAATGTACTTGGGCCAGAGATGTAGCTCAGAGGCACAGGACCTGCCTGGCAAGCGTGAGGCCCTGAGTTTGATTCCTAGTACAAAAAAAAAAAACAAAAAAAAAAAAAAAAACAAAAAAAAAAAAAAAAACCAAGCACTTGAGGAGGTATATGTATGCCTCCCAGCTCATCGTTTTTTGTTTTTTTTTTTTTTTTTTTTTAGTTTTATTATTTTTTTACTGGGAATCAAACTCAAGACTTTGCGCTTGCCAGGCAGGTGCTTGTGCCACTGAGCAAAATCCCTGGCCCACATCACTTGATTGTATCTGTTTTCAATACTGTTGCTTAGTTCTGAGTAAATCCATTTTTATCCATCAATAAATTCTATATATAGGCCTCAATATCTACATATCTGTATCCATATAAATACACATTTGGAATTTTGAAGCTTCCTTTGTGATTTAGCATATGTTGATTTTTCAAAATTGTGTAGACAAAATGGATTTTTTCATTGCTTCCTTTTTACTGGTTTCTTTTGAGAAGAGTCCTAACCTACTCTATGTTGGTTTTTGAAAGTTCCAATTCTATGTAATGAATTTTTGATTCAGAAAAGCAGATCAAAATTATTTTTTTCAAAATCACATTGTATACTATCTATGAGTTAACTATTTGGTGAAACATACCTTGTCTAAAAATGAGATTACCTCAATTTTTAAAATTTCCTTCTGTAATTTTGAGCTGCTATTCATTACTTGCTTTATTTACCTTTTCCATATTACAGCTGTCTTTCTGCATCACTTTATTTTAGCTGACTCTCCTATACACTGAATGTAGCCAGACATATTTTGTTCCTGAGACAGCTTATGTCTGTGTCCGGGGATTGAATCCAGGGGCACTGGGCTATGTCCCCGGCCCTTGTTATTCCATTATCTTGAGACAAGGTCTTGCTCAGTTGCTTAGGCTGGCCTGGAACTTACAAACCTGCTGGGATTAAAGGCATGTGCCTTGCTGGTATTTTGTTTTGACATTTTCCCCATGTTCAGGCTTACTTTTGTAATTTTATGTTTTTAGATTACTACATTTTCTTCACATAATACACCTTGCCTTTTGGAAGTACACTTTATATGAGTTACGGAAAGTCAGTAACGTCCCAAGTACTTTTCTCCAGAGTTTGCTAATGTACAGAACGCCACTGCTGGTTTACAGTCTTAAATGGCAGCCTTACTGGACAGACACCATGCTCGTCTCCATCGCTGAGTCCATCCTCCCTTCATCGGCTGCCTCTGAGGCCGCGCTGTCGGCTTCCCCTGGGAACTCGGGTGCACAGGCTCCGTAAAGTTCCGGGGCTGCAGCTGCATACGGTGAAGGAACCAAAGTGCTGCCCCGCAACTTACTGACTTCTTCTTCAAGCTTTTTCTTCTCCTCAAGCAAACGAGCTCTGTCTTCAGAAAGTGATTCTATCAAATCTGGGAGGCGGATGAAAGAAACAGTAATTAAACTTTCATGTGAATATTTTAATTTCAAAAAGAACCCAAAGGTCATACCAAGACAGTACTAACCTTTATCCCGTTCCTGTTGTTTCATCGTACTTTTCAACTTATCACTAAGATCATTTATTATGTTTTCTTTCTTCATTTTCTCTCTTGTTAAAACAGTGTTAAAATTGGTCTGAAAGAACAGAATAGTAACTATTTAAACTACCTGCACACAGTAGCTAAAGCTAAGAAAATAAAATTTCAAATATTCTTTTCAGTGGTCCATTTGCATGTTGAGAAGATTGTTATGATTCACAAATACGTTTTGAAATTTTAAGAAGTAAAATGACCTACAATTTAAAGATTGTTGCCATACATATCACTTTCTGAGTACTCTTTCTGAATTAGCTAAGTGCTGATTACATTAATATTTGAAGGCTAGCTCCATCTGTCTCTGATTTGAATATTAACAGTGGCCACTGAACTTCTTTGTTGTCTGTATCTAAAACTCCCCAACTTTGGTATACTTATCAAGAAGCTCATTTAGTTGCCTGCATAAATCTCACAAGGAAACTGGTAATGTTAACTACCAAGTTGTTTATAAGCAAACTGTTGGTTAAAAGTTTGGTTGTAGCACCTCATATAAGACTCTTACTGGGATATAAAATGACAGAATTATCTAATTTTTCCATTGGTCTAGCATTTCCAATTGCAAAATTTTTCATTTTTTAAAATTGTGAGGAAATTTCTTACTTTACTGTCCATGCTAGCCTCAAACCTGTGACCCTTCTGCCTGAGAGTCCCAAGTGCTGAGATCAAGACACTGTGCCTACCATGCCTGACTGCACTCCAAACTTTTAAGAGTTCTTTAGTTCTTGAATCAATGAATAATGGTAATAATGCTATCACAGGAATACAGAGATTTAACAGGAAAATAAGTTGACTTTTTTTTTTTTTTTAGATACAAATACTAACTTCTGAGGCTGAGGATCTAGCTCAATAGTGTAAACATCTACCTGGCAAGCACAAGGTTGTGAGTTCATTCCCCAGTATAAATACTAACGTCTGGGCAGTAAGCATACCAGAATAACCCTCAAAAAGGAACATTTAAAATACAGCCTTGTGTGAAAATACCTTTGTATTATTTATATACAGCCAATTAGAGATTTGTAATAACAGTAGACTTTTTATGCACTTTGTAATTTCTGTGATATGAAATGAATTCTTAGAATTCTCATTTATAATAGACATTTTTAAAATGTTTCTTAAGAAACAACTAAGCCACCAAACTCAAACAAACTCAAGCCACCAAAAGAAAACAAGGTTTTATTAACACTGAGTGTATACTACTGAAACCTGGAAGGTACCTTAACAGTCTTTCTCCAAATCCCGCTACATATATATATGTTTTAAAATACTAAGAACTCAAGGGCTGGCCTGGTGGCACACCCCTGTAATCCCAGCCCTTGGGAAGATGATATGGGCATTTTGCTGCCAAGACCCAGGCCAATTTGGGCTCCACAGTGAGACTGCTGGAATAAACCAAAAAAAAAAAAAAAAAAAAAAAAAAAAAAAAACAAAATAAAACCCCGAAGTCCTCTACTAGATATCTGTCATCTTATACTTGAAACCTTCAGCTACACAGAAAAAATCAGAAATAAATGCAATGAGAGGCACATGCCTGTTGTTCAGCAATCAAAGATGTTCGAACATTTTGCATTTCTTCATTCTTTCTCTTCTCTTGCTCTTCAAGTTGTTCCAGAAATTTAGCTTTTTCTTCCTGAAGCTTTTCTTGAAGTTCAGCAACTAAGCTTGAAGAATCTTCTCTGGTAGATTCAATGACAGCACTTAAAAATTGAATGCAGCATTAAAATTTTTTCTCAAAAATTACAGATTCAATCAAATACATCAAATAGCCTATTTATCTTGTATAAACTAATAGACTGAGAAACAGTGTATCTGTGTGAATTTGCTAACTTTGTAACTAAAAACCGTTGTATCAACTTGGCTGAAAATGTATCCTATACTACTAGTTTGTCCAGCAGGGTGTGGTGGCACAGGACTTGAGAGACTAAGGCAGGAGGACTGCTGTGAGTTTTAGTCAGCCTGGGCTACACGGACAGGTCAAGGCCAGTGAAAACCCAAATGACTGTCACGTACATAACTCTGTTTTACTTTACCTTACTCTAGGATCATACACCATACTGACATAACCCAACCAATGAAACAGTTTTAAAACAGGGTTTTGTTTTTTTCCTCTAGCACTACTATGTTTATCGTTCTCTAGGGAAGCAAGGAACTAAATTTTGGAGGTAGGAAGGGCAGGAAGCTTAAAAAGAGTTGATCTAACAAAACCACCACAGAAACCTAAAAAATTTATCAACAAAACTTGCCCATACCTCCCTCTACCAAGAATCCACATAATCTTGTCTTCCTATACATGAATGCCATAGAGATACTGAAATTACAATTCAGGGAAGCGGACATTGTTAGTAAGTTAGGTCTAGCAAAAATTTCTTTTATGCAAATATTTCTAATAAAGTAGAAAATCAACACTAGATTGTCTCTGTACTTAATGTATTACTATTATGTAACAAAAATACACTGAAAAGTTTTTAAAAGCCTTTATTATGGTAAAAGACATTTCCATTAATCTCTCATCATACTCTCACTTGTAAGACATTTATCTCTTCATCCCTACCGCTATGTGAAACAGTACTTGAAGTCCTCTTTTGAGTCTAGTCATTCGGCTGGAGCAGCCCAATATCCTGAATCACTCAAAGCATTTACCTTTCATGATTATTTTGACTTCAAAGAAGAGCTGGATTTGTGACGAAGAGGGTAAGTACATACTGAAGCCTGTCTTTCAGTCAGATGGCACTTGACAGGATTCACGTTATTTTTTCATCACCCCTTGTAAAGGTTCAAAAAAAGACCTCTTCAGTACTGCCTCGGATAATGGCAAGAATGCCAGGATAAGTGTTTGAAAAAAGGGGACCACATGGGGCAGAGGGTTGATGGCAATGTGTCTTCTATTGTAGGAAGTTCAAATACTCATCATACATTTTGATCAATCAACAATTGTGAAGTGCTTCAAATGACAAAATAAAATGCTCCCACCCATACTCACCTGGGTCTGTATCACCACAGGTGATGAGCTGAGTAGTACACACACACTGTATACTCATTTCTTTGTACATAGGTATGTGAGGGATACCTTTCCCCTAGTTTTTCAAAAACTATAGATTTAACAAATACTTAAGTTCACATTTCCTTAATTCCAAGTACACTGGACAGTCACTCGCATAACTGGTCACTTGCACTTTTCTGACTGTCCACATCTTCTGCCCATCTTTCTTATGGATTGTGAATCTTTGTGATTTGTGGGAGGTCTATGACATTACAGATAGTTACTACCCTCTTGGTGGTTGGCCCCTCTACAGCTCCCTCTGGCATACTACACAGCAGTGGGAAGGTGAGGAGAAATCCTGGACTGTGTGTGTGCTCTACCGTAACATTACTTTCTGCTCAGTCCGGATATTAATGCAAAGACTGAAAAAAATCAACTGAAAATTTCATGTTCCACTAGGAAATTAAAGTTCAAGAAATTAGCACTTAGCACTTTGGGAGAACATGGTGGATAGATAATAGCAGCTATGGAGGCTCTCTGAGACAACCAGCATAGAATCCAGGAATGGTGCGGTATGAGGAGTCCTAAGCAAGGGGAGATATACCCTGTCGACCCAGGAACAAACTAAGCTGAGAAAAACCAACTGGAAATGCAATCCCGATGCTATAAACTGAACAGATAAAATATCAGCATGGAAGCTGAAACTCGCACCTCTGGAAGCCGCGATTTGAATTTTTTGCTGCCACTGCTGCACCTGAATCGGCACAGCAGGGACAGAGAGGCAAAACAACTGAGAGCAGGAATCAGCAAATGGAGTTGAGAATAAGACCGGTGGGGAGCCCTGCATTGACCTGCAGTGAGTAAGAGGAATGGGGACCCTTTCATAGACTAGGAGGCTCCAACAGAGAACATTCTGGGACCAAGCAGACTAGCTGGAACAGGACGCTGCAGTGACTTTAGTCGCATATTCCCCTCTCAAGCGGGACTGGTGGGGGAGCACTTGGCCTGGGTAACACCGTGGACTAAGACCCAGGAGGCTAGCCCAAACCAGGTCCCTGCACGTGGTGGTGCACCCTAGCAATGAAGTCTTCAGAAGGTTGACCTGGAGGGCGGGCCAGCAGACACTGCCCAGGTCCATGTCTCCCAAGTACACTGCAGTGGGTGGGAACACCTAGCCAGCGAATTCAAACAAACTGTAACCGACAAAGAAAAAAACTGGGCCTACTATATACACTTGTATGGAAGGGACAAAAAGTATGGGAAGAGGGTGCAACAAGAAAGGGTCCTGTCTCCAATCCTGAGAACACTGATCCAGGAAAGGTAAATCCAAAGCAGAATGAGGACAGAAAACATGCAATGTCAGACATGGCACCAATAGACATAAAGCGATCTGTCCAGAGCCTCATAGACGAGTTCAAAAGTGAAGTATTTAATGAAGTAAGGCAAGATCTAAGTAGAATGGTTAGAGAAATGCTAAGCACTGCCCAAGAAAAAAAACAGATGGTAGAATAGGAAAACAGAAAACAAGGGCAGAATTGTTTGAAGGAGAAAATAGAGAAAACAGAATACATGAAACAGGTTCAAAGAGATTACCAGGAAACTAAAAACTCTATTGAAAGCTGGCATAACAGCTTGAAAGAAACTAAGGATAGATTCTCTGAAGGACAGATTTGTAATGTGGGAGCATGAAATGAAAAACTTCTTAAAAATAACAAGGAAACAAACAGCAATAATACAAAGGCTAGAAGATGATAAGAGGGATCTAACTTAAGAATTAAGAATGTAAAAGAAGAAGCAGGGATGCAAACAAATGAACTGCAAAGGCTATTCACAGAAATAATCAAGGAGAACTTCCCTAAATGGGAAAAGGTAAAGATACTCATCTATGAGGCATACAGGACCCCACCCACCTACAACCCAAACAGAGCTACACCCAGGCATGTAATAATCAAAATTCCAGAAACACAATATAATAACAGAATATTAAAAGGCGCCAGAGATAAGAAATAGATCACTTACAAGAGAACACTCATCAGAATTACAGCAGACTTCTCGGCACAAACCGTCAAATCATGAGCATGGGGGGAAATAATTCAAGCTTTGAAAGATAATAACCTCCAGCCAAGATTGATATATCCTGCACAATTGTGCCTAGAAATTGATGGAAAAACAAGGTGCTTCCAGGATAAAGAGGAACTAGAGAAATTTGCAACCACCAATTCAACTCTACAGAGAATACTGCAGGATACTCTAAAAAAGAAAAATACCAAGATTCCAGAAACAGTGGCAGAGAGGCTACAATGAATGGAGCAGAAAGCAAAATGAAGAGGACAAACTGACAACTAATGACAGCAAAAGAGCTCAACAGATATCAGGCAGAGAAGGTTAGATGGTAGGAACAGCTATTTTGGAGAAAACAAGACACCATAATAGCTAGTGCTTATTTAATATCATCTTGAAGTCCCATCAAGCTTTTGTTGTTCTATCTCCATTGGTCTTAACATGTTGTATATTATTGGGTTTTATATGTGATAATATAAACAAAAACTTTTATACTCAAGGAGATTATACAGATTGTTCATTTTTTGCTAGTTGATTCTAAATACCATGTAATTTTGTCATTCTCTTGAATGGTTTTACATTGTCTTGATATGTTTGATGCCACAGTATACGAAGTTACACTCAAAGATTTCAAAGAAAGAGACACTATGGTAACTACTTCTATGTCAGGATATCTTGCGATGAAACAATATTTTGCTTAAATGGTTATGTTTTGACCTGCACTGTTTTGTTATGCCCTCATTTATCTCAATCTCCTTTATTATTTTTTTATCTTTTTAATTAATGGAAAAATAAAAAATAGGATATATTATAGTAACCCACTTGATTTCCTATTAACTTGATTTGAAACCCTGTATTGTTCTCACCATCTTGTTTTGACTAATTTTCCTCTATTCTGTTTTGCTTGACAGTACCAACTTCGAGAGTATAGGCAACAACTGTGAAGACAAGATTCATTATGATGCCCATTCTGGTTTGATTATTAAATTCTTTTGAAGTCCTGTAATGTCTCCAATGTTTTGGTTTTATTCTTCACTGTTATGTTCAATTTTATTATAACTGATGATATAGGCAATTCTTTTTAAGATAGCAAGAGGCATTATGGTAACCATTTTTTTGTTTGTTTGTTTGTTTGGTCTTTTTCGTTTTTATCGGTACCAGGGATCGAACTCAAGACTGCCTGCTTGCAAGGCAGGCGCTTATGCTGCTGAGCTAAATCCCCAGCCCATGGTAACCATTGTTGATCACCTGGTATTTTGTTTTTACATTATGTATTATGTGCATCCTTTTGATTTGACTGACCCTGTTTTGTTATGTCACATTTGGTTTTACTCTCTTCAAAAAATAGTAGTAAGAACTGTGGGAATAATAAAAGCCAAAATGTGTAATTGTCATTATACAAAAGAGAGAAAAAGAAAGTGCTCTAAAGGATATATTTAAGTGTATAAGAAAGACAATGTTATTACTGAGTTTTATTGAATCACTGAACATAACTGTTTGCAGTCTCACTGTTTGAATGTCCACTTTATATGCTTTAATTTTGTAATTTGAACTATTTCTAAGATGACAATATGTAATCTATCAACTAGTGACTTCCAGTTTATTTTGTCTGAAATTCAGTATAACTTTTTTTTTCTTTTTCTCCTTAAATAAAAAAAAGAAAGAAATTAGCACTTACTGGTTTTTAATTTAGTAATAACCAGTATATAGAATCAAATATAGAGGCTATTTAAACATGCCCATTTTCTCAATATATTATTGTAAAAACTTGATTTTTTTTCATTACATAAAAATTGAAACAGACTGTAACAGAGAATGTGGAAGATTTGCAAATATATACAGTGCCAGTCTTACAAAGGTTACTTCATCAAAGCTTTTGAGAAATGGTGGTTCTCTGCAGGACCGAGAGTAGAAGTATCTGAAACTCGAAATCCACCAAATTTCGTGGGAATGACAGGATTCTGGTGGCAGAGATCAATTAGTGGCACACAAACACCAGATACATGATCGATATGGCTCCACTATAGGCAGCAGAGCCAGAGCAGCAATTATATTTGTCTCAGAAGACTCTTTCTCAGTGGTCATCCCTCAAGCTTTAAAAGAATGGGTTGATTAAAGTCTACTAGACCTGTAATACAGAATAACACAAATGAGCTCACTTAGAATACCATACTTGTGATGTGTACATGATGAGATGCAGTGGGGAAATCTGGTAGCTACGGTGTTACAGCATGACACTGCTATGGACCTTTTGATGAAACATCAGAAAAAGGATTGTTTAGTTACAATGATGCCGGCTGACTACAAGCAAGTGAAACTGGCTGAGGGAGCAATTATCTGCAAAGCAAGTGGTGGCTGGATTCTCACAGAACCCTGTTTGTCAATTTCGGGTATACATGACAAATAACCAGTTTGCTTCTACCTACATAGACAGCAGTATTCTTTCACTATGCAATCTTGGGATTATACTCCAATTCTGATAGAATCTATTTGGCAGGACTGTTTTTCCCCCTTGAATCTGGCCTCAAATATTGGGAGACTGACCTTGTAGGGCAGTTTTCTTAACAATTTAAGTGTTATCAAAAATGTCTGACTCTAATGAACACTTTCATTGCTTGGAAGTGGAAGACCACTAAAATTGTGGTAGTAAGCATTTTTTTCCTAAAATACAATATTCAGGGTGAAAAATCTAGTTGGAAGACTCCATAGAACATCATAATACCATTTAACACATTCAGTATATGTTGTGTGGTCCTAATAAATATGGGACAGTACCTACCTAAACTACCTGAATAAACATTGTGTCCCAAAGTGACAGTGAAGCTCATGAAAATTCAAGTGTGCAGTGACTCAATATGTGGAAATTGTATTTTTCTAACACATTAAGTCATGAAAATGCCCTACAATGATTCATGCAAACTAGCTTTAAAGTTTGGATAGTAGAGAAAAGAACTAGAGTGAAATCTAGTGACAAGAAATTTGTGGAAGAGGAGTATGTCAAAATGAGGTTAAGATGTGGGGACCTTTAAATCCTCTGAGGATATTATGTGCCACACTACAAGGAAACTTAGAATCACAACAACAATGTGAATATTTTGGGGGACACCACTAACCTTTCTCCAGTAATAGCTATCTGTTACAAAAACTAATGAAAAATCCCCAATGGAAGCATAAAGCCACAGGTTTCTACACATTAAGCAACGAACCCAGCCTCCTCCCCCATACTGCTACATTCCCTAGGAAGAACAGCAGGTCACTGGATGGAGAGGTAATTAATCTGGAATACAACCATTTTGGAAGGAAGAATAATTTGTCTTCACCAGGTCAGGTACTCTCTACCCAGATCATAGTATTTCTGCCAAAACCATCATTCCTTAATTTAAAAAATGTTGTAATCACTCTAATTGCTTCGAACAGAACAATTCTCAAAATATACAGAGATGACCACATACCCATAGAAGACACTACTGTCGTCACATATGTTAATTCCCAGTAAGCTGTGGACCAATCTACTCACAGTACCATTTGAGCGACATTTCACACAGCAGGGGTAAGTAACACATGTCTCTGAACCAGAAACCACTGTGATACCAATTCACCCATAATCTGGATAGATCAGAGAAACAGAAATGAAATTTGGAATCGCTATTGCCCCAATAAACTATAATTAAAGAATATATAATTTTAGGGCCACACTGACTTAGAATGATGATTTAGTTTACAAAAAGAACTCCTTAATCAGTAGACAAAAGCAGGGGCTCACTTGAATGGGAAGAAGCTTATACTTCTTCTTCCATTCGGTCACTTAGGGCTCTGATACTGATCCTGCAGTGTAACGCCGCCACATAGGTGACTGAACTTCATTATCAATGAGAACATTCTTCAATACAATGAGGGCAAGAAGGAATATAATAGAATCCCAAGGGATCTCCTTGACACTGGCCATGACATTTTTTTTAAAAAATCAATAAAAAACAACTACTAAATTAATGGTAGTCTGTCTAGAAAAGATTTGAGACGTGTATCAGGCAATAAACTAACCTCAGATGAGGCACTAAGCTAATAAATACAGTGAATAATAAAAGGAAGGTGCAAATACCTACTAGAGTTACAAGACTGGTTACAGAAACAAAGTCTTAATTAAGCCAATATATAATCCAATTTTTAGCCTTACTCCTGTTTTCCATTCCCCTATTTTGTAAGTTAAGGTGTGACAGTGGCAGTTAATCCTGTATTTTACTGTTTAGAGTGTCTAAGAGATTGTGACAAGAGAAAATGAACATCAGGTGTTTGCTCTGCCCTAGAAACGGTATCAGTCTGAGTTGAACCTTATGTAGAGCACTAAGGATACATTGTGATATGAGAGACATAACTTGTATCACATCAAACAGAAATTTCACCGAGGTTTCTTTATTTAGAAGTTGATAGGGGCAAAACAAACGTCTGACTGCTGACCTTCCAACAGGCTACCAGAGCCCCCAGCACTGCCCCCATTTCTCCCTGTGCTCCACACACACTGCCATGCAGGCTGCATTTCCCATGCTCCCCTGCATAGCTTCAGGACTGTCATGAAAAGAACACGTTTTGACGTCTGGAAAGCAGACGAGAAGCCCACGCTAGTCCACAGGGGCTGTAGTCAGATGCAGTCTCACAGCAGCTGCCTGCCTGGCACTGAGAGCCACTTGTTCTGTGCTGCAGAGTAAGCCAGACCATTAGTGCTTTGCAGACATTTTCTTGACTGCTGTAGCAGCTTCCCAAGGGAGAAGAACCATCCTCTCTGACGAGTGCTTCAATCTAAGTCCCTGTTTTCACTTAGAGCTTGACAGACTCACTCCAAGTAAACTTTAAATCAGCTCTTCTAGGCCCGTAGGCTTTGACCTTGGCGTTTGTTCTTGTTGGGCCTTCATTACCCAGTTGTAGTAAGAAGCTTAGAAGCTTAGGCACTCCAGAGAGAACTCCCCACCCTTGATCCCTGATGGTTTTCAAAGCATGATCAAATTCCTTATTTTATACTCTTGACATCTTGTCACCCTGGCTTGCCTTCAGGAAGAATTCTTTTAGGCCAGAATCCCCCTTACTCCAGATGTTTTCTGAGAGTTAAAAATGTCCATCTACTGTTCTCCACCCTGCTGCTGGGCTACAAACTGCATTTGTTCATCAGGTACTCAGAACTGATCTCATCTCTACACCGAGGTCTCTCCCTCCTGCCGCGCTAGTTCCTGAACACAAACCTGTTCTTACACTTTAACTGCTGTCCAGCTCTGGTCCTCTGGCAGCTTTCCTTGGCAGTGACTCCACTGACCTTTGTTCCCTCATCTATGTAAACATATGTGCAAATCCTAAATCTTCTATTAAATCCTCTAATTTCCTGAGATATGTATGAGAACTTCTATTTTCAGATCAGAAGGCAAAGTTTTGTCTGTATACCAAAATATGAGTATTACATAGCAATCAATGCCAGGAGATTGTTTAGAAATGATAAGGCAGGAAAGAGGATAAAAAGTTACACGTACACACACTTATAAATATATTCACTTTGAGAATTAATGATAGAATAGATGGTACCTTATGCTCCAGAAACTGTTTGTTGGGCTATAAAATCCTGTCACACATTTTTAAAGGAAGAAATACTAAAAAATTATCTTCCCTGATCAAAAGGGCAAAACAGAGGCTGGGGATTTAGCTCAGTGGCATAAGCGCCTGCCTTGCAAGTGCATGGTCATGAGTTTGATCCCCAGTACCGATTTAAAAAAAAAAAAAAAACCAGAAGCAATTTAAAACATATGTATTGAAGTAATAAAATCTTAAAATTAAAAAAAAAAGGGCAAAACATTAAGACAATAACAATAATAAAAATATAAAAACAAACAAACCAAGAAACCCAGTCCACAACCATAGTATCAAACCTGGAATTTAGAACATTATCTTCCTATCACAGAGACAGTAACTGAAATTGTTTGTAAAGAATATTACAATAAGAATTGCCATATATTCCGTGTGATTCTTTGTTAAACAATGCTCTGAAAAAAACTCTTACATGTTTTAATAATTATACACACATACTAAATATAAGGAGAACAAAAGCAAAGAATTTCAACTAATGAATTTAGTAGAAACTCCAAATCAAAGCAGTTTAAGAAAGGAAAAGTACTGTACATTAAAACATTTCAAATTTTCCAAAAAGTCATTCCTCTGAAAATCTAAAACATGAATTTTTAGAAGAAACTAATGAATTTATGTAGTCTAGTTATTTTTTTTTTTTTTTTTTACAAAAAGCACTATTTAAAAAGTAATGTGTTTACTTCATGAAAACATTCTGACTGCTACGTTCACCAAAAGTATATGAGTAAAACAGGTACTGTGATTACGTGTACATACTGGAATCACCAGTATTTTCACTTTATAATTAGACTAAATTTAATTCTTACCTTTGTGCTATTTGATTTTCAAGATGTTTAATTTTTTCTAATAACTCTTTCTCGACAACTTCTCTTTCCAACTTAAACTCTTTTAGAGCAGTCTGAACAGCTTCCTCTTTTTCACAGCTGAGCTTCTGAATTAACTGTTCTCTCTCTTGTTCATAGCTCATAATCAGTTTCTCTTTGTCTTCCTCAAGGTTCTGAATAATTGCTTCATATTTCTCTTCTTGTTGAGTGATTTTTTCATCTTTTTGTTTAGCAAGAGCATGCAATTCTGAATCCAATTTATTCTGCAGCTCAACTACTTGTTCTTTTAGGTTTTTTTCTATTTCAAATGCTTGATGATGCAAAGATGTTACTTTGTCTAGTTCAGTTTTAAGTATATTAGATTCTTCTTCATGTCTACTAATTAATTCTGAAATGCACAAATCTTTTTCAACTGTCATTAGAGTTCGTAGCTCTGCTAAACCCACCTGATAATTTTCATTATTATCTTGAATCTTTTGGTTTAGTTGACTTATCTCTATTCTTAAGTTTTCTGTTTCTTTTTCAAGAAGAGACTTAAGTGTCTCTTTCTGTTGCATTCTGCTTTCTTCCAGCAACATTTTTATTTCATCTGTTTCTGCTTCTTTCAATGCCAGTTCAACCTCTAACTTACACCTCGTGTCTGACAAATCAGAAACCTTCAGTTTTAGTTCCTGCAGCTGCTGTTCTTTTTCATGGATAGCTGTGGTGTGAGATTCTTGTAGCTGATCAATTCTTTGTTGATTTTCTTGTTTTAATTTTTCCAAAGAAATTTTGTGGTCTGTCATGACTTTCTCAAACTCTTGTGTGTGCCTGACATGCAGAGTGTCCTCTAATTCCTTTAGGTGGCTCTGCTCAAGGCACTGAAGCTCTGCCCTCAGTAACTCAATCTTTTCATCATTTTCAGCATGGAGCTTTTTTAAGTCTTCTAACACAACCTCTCGTGACTGCTTTAGTTCATTAATTTCGCAATTTTGAGTGTGCACTATATTTTCCATCTCCAACAACTTTCGATCCTTTTCATTTTGCAGGCAGATGACAGCTTCTTTTTCATGCTTAACCAAAGCAAATTCATTATCTTTATTTTGTAAAACTTCCTCAAGATAGACCAAGTCTCCTTTCAGCTTCTTAATCTTGTTTTCATTTTCTTCACTCTCCTTTACTAATGCACTGATTTTACCTTCATACTCACTTTTCAAAGAATGTAGTTCTTTTTGATGCTTTTCTTTTAGTGTTATTTCCAGGGAACATTTTACTTTTTCAATAATGTTTCTTATTTCTACTGCTGTACATTTTAAAGAATTCGAGAAGTCACACTGTTCTTTTTGTACAAATGTTTTGAAGTGACACAGATCTTCCTTAATGGTCTGTATACTACAATGAGAATTTTGGGCAAAAACTCTGTATTTTTCCAACTGGACATTCAGAGAAGCATTATCTCCAAAATCCTCTTTGCCACCTGTATTTGTATCTTGCAAACGTCTACTATCTATCGCATTGATAACTGATGAATAAAGTGATTCCACCATCATTTCTGGACTTTGGGGATCACTTATAGGATTAGGAGATGATAAATTTTCTTCTATCACAAACTCATTCACAGCAGACATAAAATCTGACTCTGGACTTTCAGCTAATGAATCTAAGTCTAAAGATACTTGGTGAATAGTTTGTTCAATGTTTGGATGGGGTATAGTTTCAAAATCAAATGTATGTGCATCAATGCTATCTGGAGATAATTCTTCTAAGGGACAAACTGCTGGACACAAGGTACCCTCAACAGTGAGTGGAGGGGGAGTTCTCGGTGAGGTAGTAGTTGTAATTCCCGCTGTACTTTCTGTCCGCGGGGAAGAAGCCCACTGAGGGGATGCTTGACTCATGGATACCTGGAAGACAGAGAAAAGGGCTTAAAAGAACTGTGGCAACATAAGCTGCCATCCTAGTGAAGAGAACTTTCCTTACCTTTTGTTCATTGAGAAGATCTGTAATGGTCTGTGACATTTCATCCAAACTTTGTGCTGCTTTTACCAAATTATGTAGGGCAAGTACATGCTGGTGTAGAGGTTCAAAGTCACAAAGCAAGGGTACCCTGAAACAGAATGCAAGCAAACTAGGTGTCTGGTTTCTTAGCTAAAAGATAAGTAACAGAAAATAAACTATTTCACTGCTACAAATAAGTACAGCATGATACCTCCTTTCTAATCAATGCGAGGAAATTTTGAAAGAACTCGAGTTCTAAGGCACAAATCTCCCAGTAATACAATCAAATCGGAATAACCACAAAATATTAAAAATCCTACATAGGCCAAGTGTGGTGGCACAAGCCTGTAACCTCAGAATTTGGGAGGTGAAGGCACCAGGACCACCATGAGTTGAGGCCACCTTGAGCTACATAGTAAGCTTAAGGCCATCCTGGACTACATAATCAGATCATGCCTCTAAAAGGTCGATCATAAAACACTTCTTTATCCTGGCATTTCCTACAAGAACTGATGTGCCTATCCATACCTCCAAACAAAAATATTTTAAGGTTATAACTGAAGTTTAAAAATTCTGACATTTACCTGAGGAATGGCTGAACTTCAGAAGGACAAAATGATTGCAGAAACTGTAAATCTTTTAATGAAATATCTGGAAGTTCACAGTCAAACTTTCGAGGCTTCTGAGTCTGTATAAAAAAAAAATTTTTTTTTAACACAAAACTATAGGACTCATTTATATAAGGTTTCTTGCCATAATTAAATACAACATAAATTGGCAAAAATGTTTTAAATGATCTATTTAACCACCACAAGAGGAAAAACCATTTGAAGCAGACATGGTATGCTACTTTTCCGGCCCTTAACAGACTGAGACATAAACTGTTCAGGATCAGTTGGTACACCTGTCACCCCTTTCATGTTTTTAGTGTCACTTTATGGGAATTCTAGTATTCCTATCAATATTAAATAAAAACGTGTTGCACTACTGCATGTAATGCTCACAAATTTTTCCTTGACACACACACCACACCCATGAAAGACCTCACTAGCCCTCTTTCTCTTCATTACCAAGTCTTATTGCTGAACCATGGTTAAGATTTTTTGTTCAGATATTTCCTGCTTTACTCGTCTTTGACATTTCCACTACTTTTTCTAAAATACAAACTCTTGATCAATTTCAATTTAAAGAAAAAGTGGAAGCACTAGCATTTTCTTTACAATATCAGTAAGACTAGAATACTTTAAAATAACTATTGTAATCACTACTCACGCAGACATAGAAATGTCAGAATACTTTTCATAAAAAAGGTAGAGTGAGTGTGGAAATCCCCTCATATGTCACCCACTGAGTAGGTATTAAAGCATATGTATTTAAACCCTAAGCAATCAATCCTGCAGTATGGCAATGTATCTGAAGTCAAGGCATTGACATGAAGAGGGAGCAGTGGAAGCATACTAGCATCTCCTAACAGTATTGGATGATTCATGTATTCTTCACATTTAACAAGATTAGTAAGTACAGGCAACACCGAGTTAGGCTGAGGTTTAATTAGTCCTGCTGTGGTTTATATGTAGGTATCCCCATTCAGGTGGGGCTTTGGGAGGTGACTGGATCACGGGGCCTACGACCCCTCAGTGTATTTAGTCCACTAATCACTCAAAGCTGAGTTTGTGATCCTGGGAGATGAAGCCACGAGGAAGAGGAAGGCCCCTGGGGGCGTGTCTAGAGAGACACACCTCCCTTCTTCTTCCCTTCTTCTCCTCCCTCCTGTCTGCTAAGCAGTTCTCCTCGTCACGCTCCCCTGCTTGAAGCCAGCAACTACGGACTGAAAGCTCTACAAACTGTGAGCTAAAACAAACCTCTCCTTTAATTTGCTGGTATTGGATAGCGTGTCCTAGTTATATATAAAGTAATGAAGACACTCCTCTATTTTAATATATCAAAAGAACAAGAGCAGAAAGTGGTATGAAAACAGGAAACAAGGATGGGGTGGAGGAACAGGAGAGGAGAGAAAAAGAGAAAGGGGGAAAAAAACACCCTAGAAAAAGATGGGCAGGTGGTGCACACCTCTAAATCCCAGCCTCTTGGGGAAGGAGGGCTACCATTAGTTCAAGGCCAGCCTGGACTACCCAGTGAGACCCTGTCTTCAAAAAACTCCAACGAACAGAAAGGGTGGGAGAAGACACAACTTCCTACTAATCCCAACAGTATAACATGAGGTACCTTCCTGTGCGACCAAGTTCTGATCAAAAGCTTTGTGCCATGGGGCATATTAACCTGAACTACGTAGCAAGACCCTGTTTTTCGTTTTTCTGTTTTTTTAAAAAAAAAAAAAGCTTTATACCAACTAACTTTTAAAACCAAAAACATTTTGTTGTTGATTTCATGAAAATCATTTTTTTTTTCTTTCTGACAATCCCACTAGGGGATGGGCGTTTAGTCATGATTAGAAAGTAAATACTTACACAAAAGGAAGGTGGCCAGGAGTCCAATCCCCTAAACAGACGATTTCTTAAAAAAGACTTCCCTATATAAAGAAATTAATAATATGATTACTTTACATCTTTTATTAAGCCAAAAACCTCTGGTTTTTGAAAAAGTCTGACAAGGCTTAACATTTAAAACTTAACAATAGAATAAACTTTATAAGCATTAAAAATAATGCTTTTCTAGACTCCAATGTAATTAATATCAGGTAATGAATATAGTGATATAGAAATAATTATTTATGAAACAAAAATTTCCTTTTTCTTAAAAAAAAAAAAAAAAAAAAAAAAAGGTAAATGGAGCCATTACTCAAGAACACTTACTAAACACTTTCCCAAAGGATTCCCTTTTGGACTTCTCAGCTTCATAGAGTCGCTTCCCATCTTTGACTAAAGCACCAGCCCACTAGTAGAGAAAAATGTATGTAGGCAAAAATGTGTGTTAATAAAGGCACCAATTCATTACTGTTCATGTATAATTAAAAAAGAACTGAAACTCCATACCTCCCTGTAGTGTTTAATGAACATTTTTCTCCTGACAACCTCAACAACAGCTAAGCAATACATCTGAGGAACAGTACTAAGAGCTTCAACAATTTTGACTCTTTCTAAAAGTTCTATTACGAGGCGGAGTAAAGCTTGCAATTTTTCTCCATCTTGATCAGCGTGAAGCATCACAAAGCAACACCACCTATAGAATAAAATTCATTATTTTCAACAGTCACAAAGGTTTGCTAGGAATAATTTAATTAAGCTAAAGAAATCAAGATGTACATGTTCAGTAAAAATAATTTAATCCCCAAATTGTAGTTAAATAAAGTAGTGACAGAAAATTATTTTATCATGGGGAGAAACAAATAAATTATATTATAAAGATGCAAAATTAGATATAACAAAATCACTTACTTCAATCTGACGTGTAGATTATTTGCTAATTCTTGTTTGGCAGTGGTACACTTCTGTTTAATATCCAATAGCTTTCTATGATTTTGCAACATAATCATCAACTGATTCGCATGACTCAGGCACAAATCAGGTAATACAGATGCATCTTTCAAATTTTCAGCTCTCATTTGATTTGCTAAAAATCCCTTTGAGGAAAAGTATTTCAAAAAACATTTAATTTTATTCTACTAACAATACAAATATTCACTTAAGAGAAAAATCTCTATTAAACATGAATTGTTCTACTTTCAAACAAGAAATTGAAATCTAATTTTCTGAATGATGTATTTATAACGTAATTCCTAGAATCAAAGAAATATTTGCTTTATCAAACTAGAAAGACCATAAAGGACTATAAGTAAACTAAAAAGACATTAAAATATTGGCTGTGTAACAGGCAAAGGATTAACCAGATTACATATGACTGATTCTCGCTGGCAAGGGTGAGGGCATGAGTTTGATGCCTGGTATAACAACAAAACAAAAAGATTATAATCATGTGGCAAATGACAACTCAGAGGAAATTATGAAACAATGATAAAGGGGAAATTATTATTCTCATTTACTGGGGAATGTTGACAGATTTTAATTTTGCCTTTATAAAACGGATCATTACACATTATTACTTAATATTTAAAATGGATATACATCTTAGTCTAGCAATTCCATTACTGAGGATTGTGCTTAAGTAAATACTAATCACACATGTAAAGAAAGACATATTGGGATATTCAAATAGTACTTGTAATAAAAACAAAAAGTGTAACCCTAGCACTCGATACCTAAGCAAAAGATCACAAGATCGAGGCCAATGAGCACAAGGCCAGTTTGGACAATCCAGGAAAACCCTGGTAGAAACAAGAAACAACAAACAAAAACAAAGACAAAAAATACACAAAAAGATAAATTAGGCTTTTTCTCAGTTATATCTGAGTCATTCTGTGGAAAGCTAAAAAGAGTGACCCAGAGAATAATCAAAACATCAGGAACGCAGAGCTGGGTGTGGTGGCGCATGCCCGATATCTCTGCACATGGGAAGCTAAGGCAAGAGAATGCCATGAGTTCAAAGTCACCCTGAGCCGCACAGTGAGACCCTGTCTCCAACAAACAGAAACAAAAATCAAATAAAACAAAAAGATCAGGAAGGTAGGTCTGCAGAAAGAGTAATTTGTGGCTTTGGGTATGGGAGAGCTATGAAAGGAGGAGACAAAATAATCTAAAGCCTGGGGTCCAAAGGAAGCAGAACAGAAAGAAAACTAGGAATGCTTTATCTTGGAGATTTCCTCAGACGCCCACCAGAGGTGCTGGTCAAACTAATAACTGTACTTGTCAACATAGTCAACAGTTTTCCTTCCACATAGAACTAAGAAATTTAAAAAACTGGAGACCAGAGCTGGTCAAGGAAAAGAACAGAACACTTTGTACTTCTATCTCTTAAAGCTACGTCCTACAAATAAAGGTAACCCAAAAGTTGACAGGTCGTTCCAAGGAACAAATCAACTTCCAGTCATCTGAATCTCTGAAACCAGGTTAAAGGGATTAAAGATTATGACTGTCCCATCAAAAATTCTCTGAAATGCTAAGAGACATCTAACATGTAGGGTATCTTAGGCCTGAGACTATTCTTTTGTTTTGTTTTTTTCCTACTAAAAGTAACTGATGGCGCACACCCGTAATCCTAGCACTCTGGAGGCTGAGGCAGGAGATGGTTGCGAGTTCCAGGCCAGCCTAGGTTACAAAGTGAGCTCAAGGCCAGCCTGAACTGCATAAGTGAGACCCTGTCTCAAAAAAAGGACAAAAAAATAAAATAAAAATAAAAAATGGAAAGTAATTGAGAACATGAAAAGGTAGGATTTCCAGGAATAAAAAACTACAAGAAACAACAGAAAACATCAACAGACATAGAGTTAACAGGTAATGGAATTAACCATTCAGAAACTTTAAAAATTACTGTGTAGTTAATGTGATCAAGGAGATGATAGGTAAGACAATACTGTGATAAAAACTGAAAACCGGAGCTGGGGATTTAGCTCAGCGGCATAAGCGCCTGCCTTGCAAGCAAGCAGTCGTGAGTTCGATCCCTGGTACCGATTAAAAAAAACAAAAACAAAAACTGAAAACTATATTAAAAGAAGCAAAAAATTTCAAGGGTGAAAAATGAGCAACATAAATAAGAAATTAATAGTTACCTACATTTAGTCATCTCTGAAAAGAGAAGTAGTTACAACTGTTAAATCAGTCAAAACTAAGCACCTAAAAAAATACAGCGAAGGTCTGACACCAGAATGTCAATCTGGTAACACTGAATGACAAGTGACAGTGAGTGAGGCAAACGCCAAAAGAATCAGTAACTTTTCATTAAACCAAGATTCAACAGACGTCATCAGGATCAAAACAGGATCAACACAGCAAAAGCCACACTGTGCTACACCACAGCCAAACTGCTAAAACGTCCCAAACTGTATAGGAAGCAAACATACCCTCCAGAAAAGTTCTATAAAGAGATTTCCAAACGAAAAAATTAAATCTGTCACTGAAAAGAAACAAAGGACATTCTAATTTACAGCAGCCTACACCACAGCAAGGTTTTTTTTTTGAAAAACGTAGGAAAAAGGTTAATAATGGGGAATATGCTCTTCATACATCCTAGACAGAGTGTATTCAGAGGAAAGTTAGTGGCAGAGACAGTTAAACTAGCAAAGTAGGCATTAAAATCCAATTATGAAACACAACTGCTTGTTTGCCACAGTACTTTTCACGGTAGGTGGGGAAAAAGTGATTATCAATAAAGTATCAGTAAATCCTTCAAGAGTTAATCTTTTTTATCTCCTCAAACATTTTATTTCTCAGACTTTTCACCTTTTTCAAGGGGGAAGCAGGAATACTCAAACATACAATGACTGCTCTTATCGTACCAACAAATATTGATCTCCCCAAGCATTTTGGGGTTTGTATTTTAGCTTTAATCCACCATAAACTGTGCTCACCTCATTTTACCAAACTCAGCCATTCACAGCAGGATTGTTTTTTTTTTTTTTTTGTTTTGTTTTTTTGTTTTTTGTTTTTTTTTTTTTGTCTTTTTGAGACAGGGTCTCCCTGTGCAGATCAGGCTGGCCTTGAGCTCACTTTGTAGCCTAGGCTGGTCTTGAACTCACAACAATCTTCCTATCCTCCTGCCTCGGCCTCCTGAGTGCTGGGATTACAGGCGTAAGCTTTCACGCCCGGCCAACACAACAGGATTCTTTAGTGCATGGAAGGAGCAATCCCGCACCATTAACATTCAAAGAGGAAGCCGAAACACAATGTATGTATCAAACTGATTCAGCACATATAATACGTTCATAAGACAAATTACAAATCCCTTCTGATGAAGGCCAGAAGTACGTACCTGAGCAAGCTCCTTCTGTTCATTCACCAGCCGGCCACAGCTGGCAATCATCTGGTCCAACGCATAGAGCCGGTCTTCGAGGCCTTTGATGGCTTTCATATTCTGATTATCAAGTTTGGCAATAGTTTGATGGCATTCTACTATAAATGGTCTGATAATCTTTGGATCAAGCTAAGAGACAAGAAAATCAATATGAGCAGATAGTGTTTTTCCATGCAATTTTCACATACAGCATCAGAGAAACAGAGAAAATGTCATACAAGAGCAGAATATGGGACACACCTCTGCGAAGGTCAAGAACAAGACATATCTTTAAAAACTGTACTGAATATACCAGAATATGACATTAAGAATAAAGTTCCAAAAGTCATATAATTCAATGAAAGCCAAATTTAATCAATAATCAGTATTCCTCAGAAAACATTATTTTCAAGCTCTTATAAAGTACAGACAGTTAATAACTAAACTCACTCCCTAGTTAACAATAACTTTTCAATTTGGCTTCTCTCTAAAATACACAAAGTTCTTCAGTCAGTGCTACCGCCCCGTCTTGGAAACACACAATAAATCTTCTCTCTGTCTCCTTAAGAATGAATGAGGCTCAACATTATGCTTTCTTATTCTTTAATCCCCGACTTCTACTGGAATTTGTAGAACCTAAAAACTGTTCAACCTTGCTGCCTTTATTTACCCTGATAAAACATTTTATACTAGCCATTTCTGCGTCTGTATTTTTCCATTAAAACTGCTTGGTCAAAAAATCACCCAGTGGGCTGGGGCTGTAGCTCGGCGGCAGAAGCACCTGCCTTGCAAGCCTGCAGTCTGAGTTCCATCCCCGGTACCAAAAAAAAAAAAAGGAAAAAAATCACCAAGTGACCTCACTTCACTCAACATTATGGTACATTTAGCAAAGCAGATGACATTTCCCAAACTCTACAGGTTTGAGAACAGTTTCTGCTGGTTCCCTCACAGCATCTCTCACTGAGGTTTTCTCCACATGATGATGATCAACCTCCAGAAGGACCTGTCCTTCCCCATTTTTACCCTTCTCTATAATTTTAGCAACAAGCACAGCCTCTATGCAAGGTAAGCTTCACAGCCAGGACAGCCAAGTCTGACCCCCAGATTCTCAGTTATCTCTACGTGCCTGTAACTCCCACATGTGGCTGTCAATCACGTGACTTACTCCTGCTGACTTACCATAGTTGTCTCTCGGTGAAACCCTTAGCTGGTTTCTTTGTGCCCAAACACTCGAGTCATCGGACACCAGCCAATCTTTCTACACCAACTATTTCAAGTCCAACAACAAACAACTTCAAGGCAAACCTTGCACTTCTCCACTTGATCACTACCCCATAAGTTGTAATGGCTCCCTGTTTAAACCCATTTTTATTCCTTCTTTATGTCTTCTTCCTACAATACAGAGGACTGAGACTTCTTTATTATATGTAACACTAACTCTGCACAATACTAACTGATGTTGTGTGTAGGTGAATAATTTCTCTTTTATCAAGCTTGTGACAACTTGAGGGAATGTACACATTTATTTCCATTATGCAGTATGATACACACCATGCTACTTATAAATTATTAGGGTGATGAAAGAGGAATTTTGACAAAATTACAACTATATGTAAATTTAAAATAGCAATACCTTCAAGGAAGATGCACAGTATTAAGGCCATGGTTCAATCCCAGAACCATCAAAAGGAAAAGTAATTTTTCCATGTTAACAGAGAATGAAAATTAAAACGTCCACATAAAGTTTCTGAAGAACAGCTTTAGAAGGTGTACAGTCCACACCACAGACCATATTAATGCTTATGTTGCAAATTGTATTCGACACTGAGTGCTCTACCAATGTTTACTCGTGGGCTCACTCTCTGATTAGTTATACTCACAACATCTAACACTGCTGCCCTAGAGAAGAAATGGTAAAAACAACAATTTCTTATCCTCTCCATACTTAACTATCACACTCTTAAGCCCTCCCTCTTAGCAACTAACATTCCCTAATACCACAAGTTTGAAAGAAATTCTTGAGTCAACGAATTATGCCAACAGTAACTTTGGCAGACTATGAGCCAAGGGCACATGTTTCCAATTATTAATAGGCAGAAGCACAAATTTGGTGTTTTTGAAGTCAGGTTTCCCTACTACTGAGGTGTAATTTAAATAAAACATCTGCTGAGCCTGGTGGCACAAGCCTGTAATCCCAACCCTTGGGAGGCTGAGGTAGGAAGATTGCTGTGAGCCCGATGCCACTGTGGGACAGACAGTGAATTGAAGGCCAATCTGAACCACACAGTGAGACCCTGTCTCAAAACACACACACCAAAAAAGTTTAGAGTCTCCAGCAAGGACAGAAGAAAGCAGAGGGGCTGCCACGTCCCGGACTAAGTACTGAGTTAGAGCCACAACTATGCGAGTCCCCATCTCAAAAAGACTAAAATAAATGAATTTAAAAACCCAACAGAGCAACAACTATAAAACATTACACCAAAAAAAAAAAAAAAAAAAGTATTCCTGATCCTAGAGAATATCATGTTCAAGTTAGTCTTCAGAGAAATGCCACGAGGGACACCACAAAAAGTGGTTATAGGAGAAAAATATGTACATCTCACTTATAAAACTGCACATAGTTTACAAAAATATTAAATTTTTCCAAAATGAATTTCTGCTGCTTTAGAACAAAAACACTTTAACCTAATATGCCTATGCAACTGACGCATGCTACACTGTAGTAAAGTCGTGCTAATTTTACACAGAACATGCACACTTGAATCAAAGTTGGCATCTGCTTTCACAGCAGTCACATAAAATGCTGCAGACTTCAGAGCTTATTGCTATGACCCATAAAACAAGCATTGACCTCTGAGATTCAATGACGTAATTCCTTGACAACAATAGTAACAGCTAACTTCTGCTTCCTGTAGGGATAACAGTTTTTAATATTGTTAAACCAGTTGCGTACAACTATCTCCTTCCTCTTGTCACATAAAATGAATACAACCTACGGTTCTGCTAGATTTTGCACTTAAACATGAATTCAAAGCCAACCAAGGTTTTAATGGTCTATAAACAGTGTTCTAACATAGAATGTATGTAGTTTGTGTTAAAAAAAAAAAAAAAAAAGTGCCTTTTATCCCAATCCCAATCACATGGCTGATTCTAATTCTAAAAGCAATTTTTAGGTTACTAAAATGTCAACGGTGTGAGCAGAAATAATCAGCCCAGCTTTGTTTCATTCATTTTTGGCTCTGCAAAATGTATTATAAATTTTCCTGTTCCAGCAAACATCCTAGTTGAATGAGAAACCTATGCTGCTGGATATCTTCAAGGAAACAGACACTGAAAAAAATTATGAGATCCCACCTTTTAGTTTACCTTTTTACTGTGTGTCATAACTTAGACGAGCACAGTATGCGGTGTTTGCTGGGCACCTTAGGAAATGTGTGTGTTTTCTAGTGAACCAAGGATTGAAGAACCAAGGGTCTTTTTGAAACTGTCCCTCAAGAAAAGTTTGCGGTCGAGTTGTATTTAGACAATAGAAGTAGTCATAACACTGCTACTATTTTGTATCGCTAAAATGCGTGCCCCCAACTTCCTTACACATGCTATCAATTTATGGATGAGACAGACAAAATTTCTCAGGTTTATTTGTAAACTAAAATTAAAACCACAATGTAAGTTTTCTGATTTTAAGGAGATGTAGTATTTAAAAATGTTTCTTTAAAAAGTCCAAAAGAGGTTTCCTCTAGGGAAATGGTGATTGGAAAAAGGCATCAGGGACACTGCATGATGGAAATGTTTGGTGTCTTATTCTGGATGGTGGTGGTTTTGTTTTCTTACTTATCAGAGTTATAAAGAAAAGGTTTTTATTCTGGCTCATAATTCTGGAAATCTAAGGTTAAGGAGCCACATCTGGTGATGGCCTTCTTCCTGGAAGAATCCTGAGGTAGGACAGGACACTGGGCAGCACCTGGCAACACACAGTGGAGTGTGCTGTGTCTTCACCTTCCCTCTTCTCCTGAAGCCAGATTGTAGTTTACTTCTTAACAACGCAAAACCTATGTAGTCTGTTATATATAAATAATTCTCATTATATTAGACAGACCTATACATTTTCATACGATCTTTACAAATTTACAGTCAATTCATAAATAAGATTACAAGTTTGCATCAGTCTAGAAATTTTACTCCACAGCACACTGCTTCCACTACCTACTTTTCCCATTATATAATAAATAATGTAAACAACACAAAAAATATCAAATTAACAATACTTACCCTGCTCATAGAATCAAAGCACTTTCTGACCAAAGATTCCACATCATTAGGTCTATCCTGAACATTTATCCAGTCTAACAAAGAAACATTAAAAAAAGGCAGATCACTGTCTTTAGCATCTACTGAAGTTTCATCTTGCTGCACACTACTTTGACAAGATTCCCTAATTTCTTTGCCACTCTCAGCATCTGTGGTATCTGGGGCTACAGGTTCCATTGACTTGTGAAATGAGGTTAATAAGGATGTATTAGTTGTTCTAGGCATATCAGGAGAGAGCACCAGTTCAGTGGATCGTTTCATTTCAGCCTTTTCTGAGCCTTCATGGTCATTTAAAGAATCCAGTCTTCCCAAACATTCCCTGTAACTATGTCTGGTGAGGCACTCCAACAATGGGATCTTGGCCATTACTGAAACCGCAGTTCCTAAACTTAAAACACAAAAAGGTCTGTCAGTAAAGCTAGATTTCTCTAGTTAAGATCCCATCTTATTAACATACACACACACAAGACTTCATCACTTGCCTATGTGCTATTCATAGATACAGTAATTTATAAACTATCTGCTCACTTACAGAAGCCCAGGTTAGTAGAGACAGAACGTTTATGGTTAAGATAGCAAAATACCAAACTGGCACCGGGCATGGTGACACAGGCCTGTGATCCCAGCACTTGCGACACTGAAAGCAGAGAACCACTGTGAGTTCAAGGTCAGACTGAGGTGCAAACTGAGTTCAAGGCCGGCCTGAACTACACAGTGAAGCCCCCTCTCGGTGAGGGAGGGGGGGACCACACATAAACAAAAAACCAAACACAAAATCCTAAACTAAAGCTAGTTATCCACCTTTTACTAAACATTAAGGAAGCATTAAAAATTCAAATTTACACAAATTTCGTATTTTGTCAAGTCAATCAAACATACTTAATATTCTGAAAATATAGGATAAAATTTAAGTCTTATTCTTAGGAACATTTGATCTGAATAAGATAGATGTATACAGTTAAAAGGTATGAGGAAATACAACAACTCCTTATCTTCTGAAATGTATATAAAACAGCCAGGTCTCTACAAAAAATTGACAAGCACTCTCTCAAAATTCTATGGTACAGGTACCTACATTAAATTGACATAAAATCTCCCCTGAAAAAAGTTACTTGTAAAGGTTATAAAAGTCTTTAAAAGGCTTTTCTATTCTTATTACTTCTTTTTCCTCCCAAGATTTCTTTTATTGTCAACCTAAGACCAAAATATAAATTATTCATACCTCAAAATATAGCAATGGGGGGACAGGCAGAGGGAGGAAGGGAGCCAGGGAGAATGGAAGGATGGGTAAATGAAAAATACGGGGCAACCGTGCTACTCGCCTCTAATTCAAGATCAAGTTAATGACACAAGCAAAACACACAGAACCAAAAGTAACACAAAAACCTTGAAAATCTTGGACGTGCAGGCATGTGCACCTACACACCAGTTATATTCATTTTTAACTGTCCCTCTGTTAACTTAGGGTTAGGGTTAGGGTTCCCTAACCCTAATTATAGGTTCTTTCTTCCCGTGTAATTCAGCCTGTCCTTAAAACGACTCTACACAGCCCAGGCTGGCCTTGAAACCATGTAATCCTGTGGCCTCAATTTCCTGATTGCTAGGGTTACAGGATTGTACACTACGCCTGGCTAGGATGGCAATACTGGAAAACAAACTTAAATTTTTCCTTCCTGATTTCATCAGTTAACATTTACATTTCTATTAGATACACTATTTTTATATCATGTCTTTTCTCTGTAATGTAAAACACAGTATGAGAAAAAATTACTAGTTTTATAAATGACTTCAGTATTTCGAGCCCTTTTTATCACACAACAATAAAAAGTATACAGAAGAGTTATATATGACAAAAGAAACAGTAATTTTTAAATTATAAATTTATAAATTCATACACCTAGAAAAATTATAGCCTATGAAGCACTATCGTAAGACTCAAAAAACAAACATGCTACATGTTCAAGAAACAGTGACTAGGTTCAGCTTGGTGGTGCATCCTGTAATCCCAAGAATTGGAGGCAGAAGGATCACAGAATTCAGGGTCAGCCTGGGCCACAAAGAGTTCAAGGCCGGCCCTGTGTCACAAAGACGAAACAAAGAACAAACAAACCTGATAATCAAACACATTTTAAATAAATATCTTATTATCTACTTAACGGTAAACATACTGAGTAAGTTTTAACTTGATGTCTTCTATAGATTGCAGATAATTTGAATAAATACTTTCAAACTTGAAAAGCAGTTTTTGGTATGAATTTGAACAATCCTCCAGATTGGCCATGATTGCAGCCCAGCCTTGGTGTTGAAGATGTTCATCGTGGACAAGACCTTCACAGAAAGAACAAAGTTTCTTGGCAACTTCATACATTTCCTACATTGAAAAGGAAAAAGAACATAATAAAAATAAGGGTAATGACTTCTGTGCATCTGTGTATATCCATGTTTTCACGACTGCATTCTACACACACCACCCCCAGTTGCACAAAAAATTGTGCAAAATGAGCAAAACTCAGTAGCAGAGTTTATTTTAAAAAGTAAATGCAAAGAGTGAGGGAGAGACTGGCTCTGCAGAGCAAGCTTGGACAGTCAAAGGGGAAAAGGCAAGATCAAGTTCACCTGGAGGACATGAGGAGGAATCATGAGGAAGGGCACAAAAGCCCCAAGCCCAGGTGGAGACGCTCATCTGCACTGAGAGGTAGTTACCTAGCATGTCCCTGTTCCTGTGTTTGATCACCAGGAACACAAAAGCACCACCACCAACAACAACAAACAGAACTTTTTAAAATTGGTCATGCCAATATTATGGTCATGTAAGAACCTAAAAGTAACAAAAGATAGCAGTACTAAGCAGGGCATGATAGTGTACACCTGTAATCTCAGCACTTGGGAGACTGAGGCAGAAGGATTGCTGTAAACTCAGGGTCATCCTGGGCTACATAATAAGTTCAAGGCCAATCTGGACTACACAGTGAGCCCCAAACAAACAAAGGATATGAATGCTGATATTTTTCAGGACAGATATCCTGAGAGTCCAAAATATGTTACTAAAGGAAATGTTCAGAACAGTGAAAATAAAATCCCAATGATCTGACGAAAGTGTGTCATTGCAAATGTTACTATCCTCTAAAGCGTTATCTAAACATATTAAAAATATTATTTTAAGGGCCGGGAAAATTTAGCACAGCAGTGTAAGCACCTGCCTGGCAAGTGCAAGGTCATGAGTTTGATCCCCAGTACCAAAATAAATAAAATAAAATAAAAACAATTTTTTCCTAATGACAAAAACAAGAAGACTTATATATACATCAACTTCTAGATTACCAATATTTTGTACTTAGTGAGATTCTGGGAAATAGTTTGTAAAAATATTGAAAATGTCTTTGAAACACAACAGATGTTTGAATTCAGTTCCAAAGATTAAGACACAAAAGGACTTAAGTATATCTCAGGTCAGGCACAGTAGTGCATGCCCTTAACCCCAACACTGGGGAGGCTGAGGCAGGAGGGTCTCTGCAAGTTCAAGGTGAGCCAAAATTACACAGTGAAATCTTGTCTCAAAAAGAGAGGAAAAAAATATATTTCAAAATAAAAAATAAAAAGAGTGGAGGCTAGTGACAGAGCATCTTTGGAGCTTAACTGCTCCAAAGATACATACACACAACAAAGTATTTAATAAGTACAAACTTCTAGAAAGCAATTCAAGAGATGTACTGAGTGAAAGAAGTCCTTTGGCACGAAAGATTTCAGTCTTCTAGGAAATAAGAGATTGTTCTAACTTTGGTAACTGGTATAGGCAGATACAAACTTGAGAGAAACATGAAGAGCAAGAACTGAGGTATAAAGGGAGATGGACAAAAGTTTATAAAAAGGGTTTCAGAAGACTGAGGCGGAAAAATGGCAAAATCAAGACAATGTTAACTACAATTGGTGAAGAAAAAACAGCTGAGGGAAAAGATACAGAGAAGGCTGGATAATAAAAGACTCAGAAAACACAGCAAGGAGTTGGCCAAGTGTGCTCTGTTTTGTGTGATGGTGGCAGTGGCACTGAGAACCAAACTTGGGACACCGCACTTGCCCTCAAGGCGCCCACTGCTGAGCCCCAGCCCAGCCCAGCCCATCACACCAGATTTCTGCTGAGGCCAAGGGCTGTCTATGCTGAGCAACTCAACAAGGAAGAAAGGGCGGGCGGGCGGGCGGGCGGGCGGGCAGGCAGGCAGGCAGGCAGGCAGGCAGGCAGGAAGGAAGGAAGGAAGGAAGGAAGGAAGGAAGGAAGGAAGGAAGGAAGGAAGGAGGGAAGGAAGGAAGGAAGGAAGGAAGGAAGTTGGGCAGGCAGGCAAGAAGTAGAAAAACATAATAAAGAATGTGGTTCATCCAAAAAGCCCGAGTTCATTCCCAGGACACACACATGACTCAGAAAATACCAAGGACGGGGCTGGACTTTACTCAGGAAACAAAAACCACCTGAAAAGTTCTCTGACAAAGAAGACTAGGATCAAACACTGGCGTGGTGGCACACACCTGTCACCCAAGCACTCAGTGATGCTCAGGCAGGGAAGGGCACAAGTTCCAGACCAGTCTGGGCCACTCAGTGAAATTCTGCCTCAAAATAAAAATACTGTTGAAATACGTAAAATGGAGATGCAGTTCACTGTGAGACCCTGGGATCAATCCCCAGCAGTGAGGTAGAGGTGGGGAAGCACAGGCCTGATGGCCGGAGAAAAAGCTTTACACAGTAAAATGGGAAGTAGATGCCTGAAAGAATGGATGAGAAGTGGTCATTCTCAAGTTCTCAGGCAAGTGCTGTAAACGCAACAACAAAATTTACAGAAATCAATGAATAAGACGGTCTCTATGGGCTGGAACTGTCAGCAAAAATTCTGAGTGACCTGTCATTAAAACTAATGTACACCACTGGTCCAAAATAGGAGGAAAAGAGAAGTAACACGACAGGACAGTGACAGGTAGCAAAACTCAGCATCTCCAAGATCTGGCATCCAGCAACTGGAAAACAACTTGAAAAGAAAAGACCAGACCAGACCAGGAATAGGGAAAGAACTGACAGTAAAAATGAGAAGCTACTACAGAGAAACTGGACACAGCATCCACATTGCAGAGAAAATACAGAAACAATCTGGAATCTCCCATTGGCTCTTGCAGCTCATTAAGAAAGGGAACCAAATAAACGACCAGGGCAGGGAGATGCAGCAGGATCCAAGGCCTTAGTGTAAAAGACAAAACAGCTTGGGCACTGCTCTGGGACCTCCTTCTACACAGGACGCACAAGCCAGAGAGGGACCTAAGCCCAGGTATCAGCCACATCAACAGAACATGCTTGGCCGGGTGCCATTTCAGGAAAGAAAATTGATTATTTAAATCTGGGATTCAGAAAATAAAAAAAGAAAACCCTTCAACTTCAGGGCTCCAGTGTCACCCTGCCACAGTACCCGGGTGACACAGCAAGGAAAGACGTGGAGAGAGAGTGGCCTACAAAGACAGCCCCTGAGAAGTTTAAACTCCAACCGGGACGTGGGTACCACCCTTCCTGGAAAAGCCAGGACCAGCTGCAGTTACACCCAGAAATACCTGAGGCAGAAGTCCTCACCAGCACCAAGTACGGAACCCTTGCGCTGCTCCCTGTAGCAGCACAGATCTGATGTCTGCCTGCCTGCCCTGTGCACCAAGATGAGTGAGAGCCGCCGCTGCAATAAGCAGTGCGCCTCGCAAAGCCACAGCCCCAGGGCCGGAAAACAGATGTGCAGGGCTCCAAAACTGCAACCCCAAGAAGGAAATCACTCATTTGGGAGCAAGGGGCAGCCAAGGGAAAGAAGAAAACATGAACTGAGAAGCATTATACACACACACACACACACCAACTCCCCACAAGAAATGTTATGTCCTAACACATGTAATCAGAAAAATTGTTTTGAGACTTATTTTCCTTTTTCTTAAATCTTTTCCTTTCGATTTTTTTTACTTTTAGAGAAGTCAAATAGCCCTCCCGTGAACTGGCAGGCACCGCGCAGTCTGTGAGGAGCAGGTCAAAATGAGGAAAAAGCCTTCTGGTAAACCGTGCAAGCCACATGGGCTCAGGAAGACAGAAGCCAGAGAGCCCTTCTGTGAGCCAACCAACACCAAGACACCCCACTCCCAAGCAGCCTGTCGGTTTGGAGGACAGGCGTCATTGACAGCAACTGAGGTACAAAAATAACTGCATGTCTGAGCATCTGTTAGGATGACCAGTGTGTAATACAGCAAAAGGGGGGGGGGGTTCTGTCTTGTTTTTAAAATCCAATATTGTTCTCACTGTTTTGTTCTGGTTTACTATTTTGCTTTATTCATATTCTCTTTTGATTGGTTGTTTTGTTTTGTTTCACTTTACTATGTTTAATGGAAAGGACAGCTTCTGGGAAGGTAACAAGGCAAGATGTGCTATGGTAACCATTGCTGACTGCCTGTTATCCTGCTTCGAACCTCTGTACCACTTTCACTGCTTTGTTTTGATTGGCTTTACTCTGTTTTGTTTTGTTAAGATTTTATTATCTCTAAAAAAATTACAGGAGTGCATGCTGGCGCACTCCGGTAACCCTAACATTTGGGAGGCTGGCAGGCGGATTGTTACAAGTTCAAAAACAACCTGGGCTAAAAAGTGAGCCTAACACCAGCCTGAACTGTATAGTGAGACCCTGTCTCAACAAGACCAAAAAAAAAAAAAAAAAATTTTCTATTTTTTTATTCTCTTTAGTGTATCTTTTATCCCTTTCTAGACCTTCTATTTCTTGCGTGGTTTTGGTTAACTTTATCTAATTCTATAAATATCCTTCTACTCTAAAACAAGATTGATCCTTGTATCTTATTTCTCCTTGTTCCCATCTGTCATTGTGTAAATTTTCAAACTCATAGCTACTCATTCCCAATCTGTATATCTTTAATAGCATAACCATTAAGCTTATTCGTCTTTAGATAGTTAACTCAATGCCACTACTGTCAATTCTTTCCCATTGTAATTGGAGGGTACAGTTACTGCACTCAGAAGATGTTTGCAGGCCGCGGATTTAACTAAGCACATGCTTGGCAAGTGTGAAGCTGAGTTCAACGTCCCCTACCAAAAAGAGAAAGTAGGTGTTCTAGTCAGGAGTTGTACACACAGAACAACTAGGATTAGGACATGGAGTTTATAATATTTTTATAATAGTCACAGGAAGTTAACATTTGAAAATGCAGGAAATTTATCCACAACACCAAAGACATAGATTATTTAGTCAAGAGCCTAAACCCGACAGCAATGTTCCTCATAAGTTCAGATAAAAACCCAGAGCTCAAGACAATGCCTCCCACGAGTCCAACTGAAGGTCCAGAGCCCACAAGAAGGAC